TCCTTCTTTCTCTTTTCACCGACGCTAGTGAGCCGCACCATCTTTCACCCCCCCACACGACTCTTCAATTTCAAATAGAGAACAACGTCGTTTTCATTTTATAATCAACCCGGAAGAGGAACCCCCCTCTTTTCTCCCAAGGAAAAGGGCTTCTTTGTATTTTATCCGAGGCGTAGGCTGGGGCTGATTTTTAATACAGCGCGGCGATGAGGAACCAGTTTTTTTACAGCCCAAGGGGGTGGGGCTCAAGTTTTTTTTCCAGAAGAGGGTTTGGGGGCTAAATTTTTTTTAAAAGAGGGGGAATGGGGGACAAAATATTTTTCCACCGGAGGGGAGTTGGGAGCTAATTTTTTTTACAGGGCAGGGGAGGGGGGAACCAGTTTTTTTTACAGACCAGGGGATGGGGGACCCAGATTGTATTACAGGGCAGGGGAGTGGGGAGCTAGATTGTATTACAGGGCAGGGGAGTGGGGAGCCAGATTGTATTACAGGGCAGGGGAGTGGGGAGCTAGATTGTATTACAGGGCAGGGAGTGGGAGCTAGATTGTATTACAGGGCAGGGGAGTGGGGAGCTAGATTGTATTACAGGGCAGGGAGTGGGAGCTAGATTGTATTACAGGGCAGGGGAGTGGGAGCTAGATTGTATTACAGGGCAGGGGAGTGGGAGCTAGATTGTATTACAGGGCAGGGGAGTGGGGAGCTAGATTGTATTACAAGACAAGGGAGTGGGAGCTAGATTGTATTACAGAGCAGGGGGAGTGGGAGCTAGATTGTATTACAAGACAAGGGAGTGGGAGCTAGATTGTATTACAGAGCAGGGGGAGTGGGGAGGATCCTGCTTTTTCTTTTGGATGTGTTCAAACATAAAAGTCATGTACCCATCACCCAGCTCCACAGATATCAATGTTTTGCCAGTCCTATTAGCAAATAAGATTTCATCTATATTCCTTACTTCTTTGGGGATTTTTTTTATTTATTTATATATATATATTTTTTTGACAGGCAGAGTGGACAGTGAGAGAGATCGACAGAGAGAAAGGTCTTCCTTTTCCGTAGTTCACCCCCCCAATGGCCGCTGCGGCCAGCTCACTGAATTGATGAGAAACCAGGAGCCAGGTGCTTCCTCCTGATATACTCATGCGGGTGCAAGCAACAAGCACTAGTGCCATCCTCCACTGCCAGGGCGGATCACAGCAGAGAGCTGGCCTGGAAGAGGGGCAACCGGGACAGAATCCGGTGCCCTGACCGGGACTAGAACCCGGGGTGCCGGCACCGCAGGTGGAGGATTAGCCTAGTGAGCCGCAGCACCGGCCTTTGGGGATTGTTTTTCTCTCCCTGCTTTCCTAACTCATTCCCCCTTTTATAAAAAAAAATTATTGACATAGAAAAATACAAAAAAGTACACAAATCCTACATGTACTTGCTCAATAAATAGCCATACACCAAGCACATCTGGAGCTGGAACCTGGAGACCTCCCAAAGCTCCAGCAAAGGGAGCATAGCAGAATCTTCTAGTACTGAGTCCACAGCTGATGGATGAGATGGTGGGCTGCCCATCTCACTGTGCCCAGTCAGTTTGTGCATTCCTTCTGTTCACAGATGCACAGGCTCTCTTCTGGTCTGAGCTGTTTCAGATGGTCTGCATGAACATTCTAGTATGTATCTTGTAGGTGGCACTTACAGGCCCAGAGTGGAGTTGTTGGGTCGTGAGGCAGGTGTTTGTTCCACTTTTGTTGGCCAGAGCACAAGGTAGGTGACTTCAGCTGCAGACGTGTGCTACCTCATGGTTCTGGAGGCTACAAGTCAGAAATCAAGGTGTCGCAGGGCTGGTCCCTTGAGAGGCCTGAGGGAAAGGATCTGTCCTGGGTCTCTCCCCTCAGCCTGGGGGCAGCAGTCTTTTCTCCATGTCTCTTCACATCATCTTCCCTCTACCCATGATGTCCCTGTGTCCAGATTCCCCCCTCCTTTTTTTTTTTTTTTTTTTTTTTTTGACAGGCAGAGTTAGACAGTGAGAGAGAGAGAGAGAGAGACAGAGAGAAAGGTCTTCCTTCCATTGGTTCACCCCCCCCCCAAATGGCTGCTACAGCTGGTGCGCTGCGCCGATCTGGAGCCAGGAGCCAGGTGCTTCCTCCTGGTCTCCCACATGGGTGCAGGGGCCCAAGGACCTGGGCCATCCTCCACTGCCTTCCCGGGCCACAGCAGAGAGCTGGACTGGAAGAGGAGCAACCGGGACAGAATCCAGTGCCCCAACCAGGACTAGAACCCGGGGTGCCAGTGCCGCAGGCGGAGGATTAGCTTAGTGAGCCGCAGCGCCGGCCCAGATTTCCCCTTTCTATAAGGACCTCAGTCCCACTCAGTTAGAACCCACCATTATGACCTCGTTTTACCTTGACCATCTGCAAAGACCCCATCACACTCTGAGGGTCATGGGGTCAGTATTCCAGCCTATCTCTTGGAGTTGGGGGTGGGGACACAATTGAACCCCTAACAGTACCAAAGAGTTTCCCAAAGTGATTGCACCAATTTACACACAGCCATTTGCTGGAGTATTTTAAAGCTAATTCTAGACATCACATGATTTGCCTTGGGAGCTTTTTAAAAGGAGGAAAGACTAGGTCTGGTTTACATTTTTAAATGACTCTATTTGCTCTGTGGGAATGTAAGACAAGACAAATATTTTATCAAGAAAGAAAAGGTAAATAAAGAGCAAGCCCTCCTAGGAGTGCTCAGGTGGGACCCTGTATACTCCATGGTCAAGGTGGCGTTCACTTGGGTGTCCTCAGAGACCAAGGGGATCACTTCCGTCCCCAAGCAGCTTCCTCGAGGCTCAAGTTTTGCAGAGAGGAAGGCCCCTGGCCAGGACTCAAGCTTTTTATCCCCCTCCAGGACATACAGCAGCTCCTCCAGCTTCAGCAGCTGGTGCTTGTGCCCGGCCACCACCTCCAGCCACCTGCTCAGTTCCTGCTGCCGCAGGCCCAGCAGGGTCAGCCAGGTAAGACACCCCCGACCCCCGACCGCCCTCCACCATGGCTTCCTTGGCACTTCCCAAAAATCCCCTGCCTCTCCCTCACACCTTAGCCCCGGTATTCCCCCTTGTCTCCCCAGGCCTGCTACCGACGCCAAATCTATTCCAGCTACCTCAGCAAACCCAGGGAGCTCTTCTGACCTCCCAGCCCCGGGCCGGGCTACCCACACAGGTGAGACTGTCCCCTGCGTGTGCCAGGCCAGGTCGGCAGCAGGGCTTGCTGAGGACGGGGTGGTCGGGGGCAGCATGGTGAGGTGTGATGGTCTCCTCTCCATTAGCCCACCCCATAGCCATAGACATCATTTGGGGAACTTGGGGCCCGGCCACACTCTGCCACTGATTTGCTGTGAGACCTCAGGAAAGCCACTCTCCCTGTCTGGTCAGCTCCTTCCTCTATAGAATGAGAGGAGAGGAGCCAGACTAGTAGTTCTTAACTCTTTAGATAAGTGGACTCCTTTGAGAGTCTGACAGATTTAGATCTGATCCTCATTTCCCCCAAGTGCTTGTGTGCACAAACATGGAATTCCAGGGGCTTACAAGTTTTAGACTCAAAATGGGCCAAAGATGGGTTTTATTTGAAAACTACATCTCCAGAAAGTCCCAGGGTTGCGTCTTTTCCTCACAAACCAGAAGACCTGAGCAGGACTGGATCTACACCTCTGTGGTGGGCAGCAGCAGTGACCAGGGGCCCCCGAGGCAGTGCCAGGTCTGCAGGCCACTTCGGCATCTACTTGGCTGGACCCCAAGGCCAAGCATCAGTTTGCTGCCTTGGCGCTAGACTTCAATAATAATTTTTCATCACCCTGTATGAATTTCAGTTTTTTCCTATCCATTTTTTAAATAGTCCTTTTAAAAAATATGTGAACTACTCCAGAAAGAGTGAAAAGTTTAGAGACTAATACAGGTCTTAGCTGAAGTTCTGATGTCCCAAATGTCCTGAAAGAAAGTTGTTCCTGTAACATTGTCACCAGAAGTCATTTGGCTCAAAATCTGGCCCTCCCCAACATGAGGCGAAAGAGTATGACCTTTCTGGGTCCCTCTTGATGTGATAGTCTTGCTGTAGTAGAACTGTTATTTTGCCTGACTACAGTGGTGGATTGATTCGGATGGGGGTAGGGGTGACATTACCTAAGAAATATGCAATGATATCTGAAAAACTCTTGAAGTCCAAAACACATCTGACCAAAGTTTTGAATAATCAAGGATTTAGGTGACAAACATCCCTGCCCTACCACCTGCTTCAGATCTTTTATTTTAGGATGCTGAAGCATTCCAGACAGAGCTGTTGCTTCTTTGTCAATTCCCGTAATCATCCATCTGTCCATTATTTTAAGAGTTTTATTTGCGAACAATTCATTTTTTAGGACTTAACTGTTTTACAGCAATTTTAGATTCACAGCAGAATTGAGTGGAGATAGAGATATCCCATCTCCGCTGTGCCCTACACATGCATAATGGTCCCCGTTATCCACACCCCCCACCATGTGCTACAGCTCACTGCCGAGCCTACACTGATACATCATTATCTCCCGAAGTTCACAGTTTACATCAGGGTTTATTCATGCTGTTGTACTTTCTGTGGGTTTGCACAACCTACTTTAAAAAAGATGTATTTATTTATTTGAAAATCAGAGTTACACAGAGAAGGAGAGGCAGAGAGAGAGAGAGAGGAAGAGGGAGAGGGAGAGGGAGAGGGAGAGGGAGAGGGAGAGAGAGAGAGAGAGGTCTTCCATCTGCTGGGTCACTCCCCTGTTGGCTGCAATGGCTGGAGCTGTGCTGATCTGGAGCCAGGAGCCAGGAGCTTCCTCCAGGCCTCCCACGCTGGTGCAGGGGCCCAGGGACTTGGGCTATCTTCTGCTGCTTTCCCGGGCCATAGCAGAGAACTGGAGTGGAAGCAGAGCAGCCGAGACTCGAACCAGTGCCCATATGGGATGCCGGCACTGCAGGCGGCAGCCTTACCCGCTATGCCACAGCGCCGGCCCCAACCTGCTCATTTTAAACCCAGTTCTCCCAACAACCTCACTGGGTAGGCAGAGCAGCAGTGATTGTTCCTCTCCTGCAGAGGTGGCAAGTGAGGCCCGAGGGGGTTAAAAAGCTTGCTGGAGGCACCCAGAGCCAAGTCCTTGATTCCCCATAGAGGGGACAGAACCACTGCCCCCACTGCAGGGAAAGAGCAGTGAGAGGAGCTGGCTCTTCCTTCCGGGACAGTGCCGTGAGCTGCAGGAGCGACAGGACCCCCATGAGGCGGCAGGCAAACCTTTAAAGGGGTTGCCAGGAAGAGTGGGGGCGCCTCCTCGGGCATGGCTAGGGAGTCTGCAGGAAAACCTCGGTCTGCAGGAGAGAGGGGGAATGTGCAGCCATTGCTGAGCCCCATCCCGGTCCTCCGCCCTGCATCCCACCTGCCCACCCGCCAGGCCGCGACCCGCCCCGCACCTCCTGTGCCCGACTCACACCTTTCGCACCCGCAGCCCCCCAAATGCTTGGAGCCACCATCCCACCCCGAGGAGCCAAGCGATCTGGAGGAGCTGGAGCAGTTCGCCCGTACCTTCAAGCAACGCCGCATCAAGCTGGGCTTCACGCAGGTGCGGGCTCGCCTTGCAGACTGGGCGGTGGGCGTGGGAACGAGGGGGCGTGGCCACCCGGTGGGCGTGGCTCTGGTGGGCGGAGTGGGCCCAGTTCCTAAGGCTCCACCCTGACGTTGGCCTCATCCCCCAACCCGACCTGCGCAGGGTGATGTGGGCCTGGCTATGGGCAAGCTGTACGGCAACGACTTCAGCCAGACGACCATATCCCGCTTCGAGGCCCTCAACCTGAGCTTCAAGAACATGTGCAAACTCAAGCCCCTGCTGGAGAAGTGGCTCAACGATGCAGGTAGAACTGGGCTGAGGCTCCAGGGTCGGGGGGCGGTAGCAGGAAGGCACTCTGTCATGCCCAGGTCTCCTCCCGGCACAGAGACTATGTCTGTGGACTCAAGCCTGCCCAGCCCCAACCAGCTGAGCAGCCCCAGCCTGGGTTTCGATGGGCTGCCCGGCCGGAGACGCAAGAAGAGGACCAGCATCGAGACAAACGTCCGCTTCGCCTTAGAGAAGAGTTTTCTAGCGGTGAGAGCCCATCCTCCTGGCGGTCCTGGGGGGTGACGGGAGGATGGGCCAGGGGGTAACAAGCCCTCCGCCTGCAGAACCAGAAGCCTACCTCAGAGGAGATCCTGCTGATCGCCGAGCAGCTGCACATGGAGAAGGAAGTGATCCGGGTCTGGTTCTGCAACCGGCGCCAGAAGGAGAAGCGCATCAACCCCTGCAGCGCCGCCCCCATGCTGCCCAGCCCGGGGAAGCCGGCCAGCTACAGCCCCCATCTGGTACAAGGGCCCCTTGGCGGGGTGGAGAGCACGAGGCTCCTAGGCGGCTGGCTGTCCACGGAGCCCGGAACAGATGCAGGGAGTCACTGGGCTCTCAGACAGATAGAGCCCAGTCACACAGGGATACACAACCTCCAGGAAGTCGTGGTCTCCTGTGGGGTGCAAGCACCCACAGATACACACTGACGTAGCCAGACACAGGGATGCACGGGTTCACCACCCCACAGAGACAACCATTAGGGATGTCTTTATAGCTGGACACTCAGGCCGTTGGCCACACACAAGCCTGCCCCGCATCCGACACAGCTAGAGCAGCCTTATTCCACCCCTTTATTGCTGCTGGTGGGAAGGGCTGTGACTGAGAGGACCCCTGCCCAGTGGTGTGGAGGAAGGAGGGGTCATCTGAGCTGAGTCACAGAGGACAAGGGAGAGTGGTCTAGAAGCCAGAGTGCTAAGCCCAATTTGAGGAACTCCAGTGTAATTTACTGTGGTTGGAATGGCAATGGATGTGACAGAAGGTGGGGCAGAGGATAGGTACCCCAAGTTTCACCATGAAGAACTTGAACTTGAGCCATGGGCAGTAAGGAGCTAAGGGAGGGGGGTCTTTGAGCGACGATCAAACTTAGTGAGGCTTCTGGGGATGATGGAAAGGGGAGACTGGCCAGGGAGGAGACTGGAATGACCCCAGAAAATCAAGTAATGTGACATCCCAACACTTTGAAGGAAAGATTTGCATCAGTTTTCCTCAGGACCCCCTCCACATGCACACACACATTTCAGGCCTGCGCCTTCCTTGTCGGGTCATACTGAATGGCCTCCTTGCTTGTCAGCCCCCGAGAAGGCTGTGTGTGATCACTGCAGGGGGCCCAGGACAGCAGGAGCGTGCCGACGCATTCAGGTGCGGTCACTTCAGACAGGACTCAGCACTGTACACAGGGCAGTGCCAGACGGCAGCTGCGGTGCTCTCAGCTGAGGATGCTCCTTCCTGCCTGTAGCTAAGATCACCCAGGGTGCACTGGAGAATGGTGGGATGGAAGGCATGTGGCACAGCATGAACACAGCATGGTACCCTGAGCCCCTCTCTCAACCCTGGGGACAGAGGAGGGCCACGCCGCAGGGAGCATGGGGGGTGGGGAGGCTGCTGGGACAAAGTGGCCTAACCCTACCACCTTTCCTCTTTTCCCAGGTCACACCCCAAGGGGGCGCAGGGACCATGCCATTGTCCCAAGCTTCCACGAGTCTGAGCACAACAGGTCAGGGAAGGCCCAAGGTGGTGAGGGGGACTGGGACGATGTGACATGGGCTGGAGCCTGAGATCCTCCAGTGGCTCTGGGTGGCCGGGGAGAGGGGCATGGGCCCCAACCCTCCTCCATTTCTAACCTGCCCTGCCCTGCCCTCCTGGGGCTGCTGAAAGGAGGTGCTTGGCTTTGTCTCTGGCCTCTGTCACTCATAGGCTGTGTGAGTTTGAGAAGTTACTTTACCTCTCTGAGCCTCAGTTTTTATAAAATTATTGTGAATGTATAACACATAGAAAAGATATGTACATATATGTACATATAAGAGTGTCTGTAGGTACCTACACGTGCACACACGTGCCCTTGGGCCAAAGTCCCCCTGCCCCCTTCCTGGGATAGGGCAGGTGTGACTCCGTAGACACTCGTGCTGCCCCTTAAATAAAAAGTGAAAGTGTCTAAAATAGAAGGGGATGCCTGGCACTGTTCCAAGTTCTTTTTTTTTTTTTTTTGACGGGCAGAGTTAGACAGTGAGAGGGAGAGAGAAAGAGACAGAGAGAAAGGTCTTCTTTTCCATTGGTTCACTCCCCAAATGGCTGCTACGGCTGACGCGCTGCGCCGATCCGAAGCCAGGAGCCAGGTGCTTCCTCCTGGTCTCCCATGCGGATGTAGGGGCCCAAGGACCTGGGCCATCCTCCACTGCCTTCCCGGGCCACAGCAGAGAGCTGGACTGGAAGAGGGGCAACCGGGACCAGAACCCGGGGTGCCGGCGCCGCAGGTGGAGGATTAGCCAAGTGAGCCGCGGCGCCAGCCAATGTTCCAAGTTCTTTATAAAGACTGAAGATATTTCAAAAAGTTCATGGAAAATGTATGTTATAAAAACATTATGTGTGGATTTCAAGAGTCTTTGCACCAAAAGAAACTTATCTTTTAATTCTATCAGCTTTTTGAAGGCCCCTGATACATGCTGATTTACTTCTCACAGCCATTATACAAGATAGGTTCTATTATTATCCCCATTTTCCAGAGGTTAAGGCATTTGCCAGGAACACAGAGACAAGAATTTCAACCTTGGCCCTAGCCCTCCCCACAACACAGGGAGCTGCACATCCAGCACCCCGCCCCGGCCCGTGGTGGGAGCATGGGCTTTGTTGCCTGGGCATCCCCAGTTCTAGGCAGGGCATGCAGAGCCGCCGCTCAGCAGGTGGCAGCTGCTCCTACTGAGATGATCGTGGTTGCTGCTACCATGCAGAGGCACCAGCAACGGCTCTGGGTGGGGAGGTCCAGGGGTCTCGGTCTGTTGTGACTAGTGAGCCCCTGGGTGAGCTGGGCGGGAAGATGAGTGGGAATGCACCCAGGGTTCCCTGGTGGAGGGCAAGTGGAAGCTGAAGACCTCATCTTTCTGTCTCTCTCCGGCAGTTACTACCTTATCCTCAGCTGTGGGGACGCTCCACCCCAGCCGGACAGCCGGAGGGAGTGGGGGCGGGGGCGGGGCTGCGCCCCCCCTCAATTCCATCCCCTCTGTCACTCCCCCACCCCCGGCCACCACCAACAGCACAAACCCCAGCCCTCAAGGCAGCCACTCGGCTATCGGCTTGTCGGGCCTGAACCCCAGCACAGGGTAAGTAAGCAACTGCAGGTGGGGAGACTGTGGTGAGGCAGGGTCACTGCTGCTTCCAGGGTGGGGAGCTGCACCCCAGTTCTGCTGACGGATCCCTGCCCCTGCTAATGCCTCTGCTTTGCCTCTTGCAGAAGCACAATGGTGGGGTTGAGCTCCGGGCTGAATCCAGCCCTCATGAGCAACAACCCTTTGGCCACTATCCAAGGTGCGTGCTTCCTCATGTCACTCCCATTGCCACCAGTCCTACCCCCTGGGGCCTCCAGCCCTGCCCATTGCTGCTCCAGCCATGCCATCCTGCCCTTGCTCACCGCATCGCTCGCCTCTTCATCCCCATCTCACCTTTGGGGAAGGTGTGAGGGGTGCTGATGGGGGTCAGTGGGACAGAAGAGTGGGGGGGCACTCTGGGCAGGACGCTGGAAGGCAGAGGTCTCCCCTGGCCCGGCATGCCCCCAGCCCAGCCTCTTTCTCTCCCCACCAGCCCTGGCCTCTGGTGGAACCCTGCCCCTTACCAGCCTTGATGGCAGCGGGAACCTGGTGCTGGGGGCGGCTGGTGCGGCCCCGGGGAGCCCTGGCCTGGTGACCTCGCCGCTCTTCTTGAACCACGCCGGGCTGCCCCTGCTCAGCGCCCCGCCTGGCGTGGGCCTGGTCTCGGCAGCTGCTGCAGCCGTGGCGGCCTCCATCTCCAGCAAGTCTCCTGGCCTCTCCTCTTCTTCCTCTTCATCTTCGTCCTCCTCCTCTACGTGCAGCGAGGCGGCAGCACAGACCCCTGGAGGCCCAGGGGGGCCCGAGGCAGGGTCTAAGTCGGAGTGAGGGCCCACTATGCCTCCCCTCCCATTCCTCTGACCACATCTTGGTCCCCTGCCTAGGAAAAGGGCAAGGAGGCCAGCGTTGGGGGTACAGAGGTCCTTGGAGCAGGAGTGACCAGGGAGGAAAGACCAAAAAAAAAAAAAAAAAAAACAAACAAAAACAAAAACAAAAAAAACCCACAAACAAAAAACCAAAAAAAAAAAAAAAAAAAAAGGAAAAGAAAAAGAAAAAGGAAAGAAGAAACCAACCAACAAATACGGAAACCAAATATAATCAAAACAAAAACCAGCTGCCCAGGAACCAGAGGTGAAAACAAAAAACCAAAAACCCCACAAAATCAAACCAAAAACCAGTCGCGAGCCAGACCTCAGTGCGCTCACTCTCACCGCTACGACGCCAAATAAAACCCCAGCCAGGGCCGGAGAAGCCTCTAGCAGGTCGGACCTCACGCCCCGAGCCCTGGCTGTGGGGCAACCCCCACCCTCGCCTCCATCAGTGGGGCTAGGGAAGGAAAGGAACGTGCCGGCCTCCGGGCTCGCCCCAGCCCTGGGCCAGCAAGGACAGGGCACAGCCTGGGGCAGGTGGGCCGGGCTGGGAACCACCGGCCAAACGCTCTTTTCCAAACGGTGAAAGAGAAAGGGCCTGAGCAACCTTACACCAAATACTCAGTAGCTTCATCCAAAGGATGTACAGAATTTTTAGCGTTGTGCTCAACAGAATGTGTCCCTCCCGTGTGTCCCCCTCTCCCCTAGCCCCCAGCTCCCCCTCCCTGAGCAGGGCGTCTTGCTTTAACCTCCTGCCCCCGCCCAGCCAGGGGAGAGTTCAGGGGCAGGCCCAGGGGTGATTTGTCACCCCAGCACCTCCCCGTGTTTCCCTCTGAAGCGGGGCCAGGCCGTTTTGCCAATTTCTGGCTCCACAAGTCCCTCCTCAACCCTGTCACCCTTCTGCTCTGGAATTTACTCCCTCCCCAGCCTACGGGAAGGTGGAAGTTTCAAGCAAGAGGGGGTGAGGGGAGGGCATACAAGTTGTCTTTTTTTTCCATCTTGTCTGTCAGTTTCCCTGAAAAAATAATTCATATTCCAGTGCCTATCCGTGGGATCCTTCCCGTTCTTTGACATTAACCAGAAACCAAAAAGAGAACTCACCTCGATCCTCCCACCCCATGCCCTCTGATCCTGGCAATGCCCCTCCCTCCCCCACACATGCACACACGCACACACCCCGGTGGTGGGGTTCCTCGAGATGGCGTCCCCATCAGGGTCCATGTGGTGGGGACAGCGCCATGACCTGTGGTCCCCATCCGAGAGGGCGCTGTGATGGCCACCACTCCAGGACCTACACGAGTCTTGGCTGGACCCTGTGCTTGCCCAGCCCTAGACATGCTCAACAAGGGACAGAGGACAGACGCCACTGGGAGCCACCTTGCCCTCCTGCTATTGTGGAGGTCAGCAAAGTTTTGAACCAAAAAACAAAAACAAACAGAAAACCAAACAAACAATAAATTAAAACTAGAAAAAAAGAATTTATAGATATATATAGATATATATATATAAGGGAAAGAAGACGAGGACTCTTCGAGAACAGGAAGGAGCCGCGAGGTGGAGCCGAGCCCCTGCGCAGTGGTCCAGGCCCTTGGTCCCCGAGGCGGACGGAAGGACGGACGCTTCTTTCTCTTCACAAATACCTCATGGACGTCGTCTTCTGGAAAGCCGGAGGGGGGCGGCTGGGGCAGGGCCTGGCCCTCAGCCAGGGTGGATGGAAGCGGGTGGGCGGGGCTGAGAGAGGGTGTCAGGGACAGGGGTGAAGAGCCCCAAACTCCCCGCCCCCCCAATCAACTGAAAAAGCTTTAAAAAAAAAAAAAAGACAGGAAACAAGGAGTGAGAAAGCAAAGAATGGACGAAGGCAAACTAACAACTCGGTGGTTTGAGTCCCCCTTTGACTTCTGTTTCTGTTCTGTCTCTGCTCTCCTCTCCCTCTCCCTCGGCCCTTCTCTCACCCCTTGCTCTCCTTCTTTCTGTGTCTCTCCTCAAACCAAAGTGTTGCTGTGAAGGACGCGAGCCATTGAAATCCGAGCAGCCCGGCCCAGGCTGGGCAGCGCAGAGGGAGGGGAGAGCCTGGCCTTGGCCGGACACTCGGAGGAAAGGCAGGCGGAGCCCCAGGCCTCAGCGTTCTCTTTTCTCGCATCTCCTCTCCCACCTGGAAATTAAACTGCTGGGCTGGGCCGCGGAGGCAGCAGAAACCCAGCCATCGTCCCAGGGGCTTTGGATGCCTACTCTGGGCAGCGTGGAGTAGCCGCCCCGCCCACTCCTGGCGCTGATGGGGCCTGGTGCGTACCGACCCGGCCTCGCTGGAGTGTAAGCATCTCCGCTGAACCGGCTCCCGGCCCTCCCCTACCTCTGGGTTTGTCCGTCTTTATTCCTGAAGAGAAGGGACCGCGAGAAGGCCTGGGCCCCAGCCCAGGGGTGGAGAAGGGGCCAAGGGCTCCCAACCAGACAGGAAGGACACTTGAGCAGAGCAGAATGAAAGGAATTAAAACCAAAAACTCCCTCCGAGAAGACAGGCAGCGTGGAAGGCGTGGTGGAGAGGACTCAAATGAAAACCATGATTCTAGACCAAAAACAAACAAACAAACAAAGGAAAGCAAATGCAGGACTCCCCACTGCCCACTTCATCCTACCTCCTCCCCACCAGGTGTGCGGGAGTGGGGCAAAGAAGAGAGGAGGAAGCAGGGGGCAGGGATGGGGCAGAGACCCTGATGTTGGTGGAGGGACCCCGTGCAGCTGGGGGTGGTGGGGGCCCTCCCCATCCAACCCCAACAACTGGGAAGAGAAAAACGAGAAAAAAGAAAATTCCTGGGAGGGAAGAGTAACCAAATCCCAAGCTTTAACTACAGCTGTGAAACCAAATATTGGGAAGGGGGTGGGAGGGGGGGGGGGCAGCTGAGCCCCAGGTCTCCCCCCTGGGCCCCCCTCCCCCGAGGACTCGCGATAAGGCACCAAATACCTCATAGAACTTTAATGTTAAAAAAAGGAAACCAAATATCGTTGGCTGGGGGCCAGCCAGGGCAAGGGGTTGCGGGGCTGGAGGGAGCCAGGGTTGGGAAGGTGATGGGGGAACTCATGCCCCCCACCCCCATCTGCCCCTTCCACTCCAGTCCCTCCCATCTCGACTCCGGGAAACAAAACTATCTCATCGTTTTTATTTTGTGGTCTGTACAGAGCCTGCGTCCGTGTGTCTGTGTGTGAGAGAGAGTTGGAGGGCTGGGAGCTCTATGTGGGGGTGGGGAGGGAGAGCCCTGGCCAGGCTCTGGGCTAGGTTAGATGTGAGCGGAGGGGTCAGGAGCCTGGGCTAGAGAGGAGAGCTGAGTGGGCTGGAGCAAGGAGGCGCCCTCTGCGTTTTCTCCTCTCCCCAACCCCGACCTCGCACCTGAGTGGGGGACAGAGACTGGGGTCTGCCCTAATGGTGGGCCTTCTAATTGTGCCAAAAAAAAAAAGAAAAAAGAAAATGATGCCAGTAACTAAACCACCTTTCTCTGTTCTCTTCTGGGGGGTGGAGTGAGGACTAGAAGTGGGAAGAGGGGCTGGGGGTTGTAGGAGTGAGGAGGGATGGGGAAGTCCAGCCCCTGTGGGAGTTGGGCTGAGGTCAGGAGGGGAGACAGGCTTTCCACACCCCCCCGAGGAAACCAGGAGAGATGGGGTAAGGGACTAGTCAGGTGGGGCTGCCTCCTGGCCTGACTAGTTTTTCTCACCCTCCCAAATCCCAGGTGCCTCTCTCTTCCTCTAGCCCAGGGTAGGGAGAACTGAGTGAGAGAGAGAGTGAGATAGACTGAGGAAGATTGAGACACGCGGGCCCCCACTGGTCTCTGAGTGGGAAAGGCAAGTGCGAGAGATAAAGGCCTCCAAGAGAAAAAAGAAACAAACCAAAGATTTAACCATTAAAAAAAAAAACCCACAGACAACTCCGCTACCTTTTTATACGTTGGAAAAAAAAAGTGAAAAAAATTTTAAAATAAAAATTAAAAAAAAAAAAAACACAAAAACTCCAAGCCGCAGTTCCTTCTTGCGGTTTGAACTTTGACCTCAACAGTCTCCAAAGCAAGACGAGGATGACAAAGGCGGGAAAAAGGAAAAAAAATAATGTATATTTTTAAGTATTTGTCATTGAGATGTTAGCTCCTTGTTAAACAAACGAACAAAGGAGAGAAAAATCCAGAGAGGTGTTGCTGGGATGGAGACAACTATTTACTGTCTGTGACCCCTCCCCTCTGCTTCCCTCCCCTCCCTCAACCCTCCCCCAAGCCCAGGGGCTCAGTATTTATTTATTTATATAACTGCAGGGTGACTGGGGGCCTCTCTGGACAACTTGTGGAGGGCCTTTGGGTCATGGTGGGGTGGGGAAGGGGCAAAGGAGTCTTTGCGGGGCAACGGGAGTCCGAGCTTTGGTCAACTCTCCGCTAGCTCTCTCCTGGCCTCTTACCCACTGCTGCCACCATCTCCTCCCAAGTCCGGGGCTACACTGAGGCAAGATCTGTTAGATCTGACTGACTTAGCCCTTTCTGGGGTGGGTGTCTGACACCTGCTCACTTGAATGATCAGTTGGAATGGGGGTGGGGACTTGGAGGGTGGTAGGAAGTGGACGGTGTGGGGGCAAGAAGTGGAATGGAAAGTCCAGAAGGCCCCAAAGCAGACCTGCCCTTCCCCTCTCCCACCAAGTCAGCCCCCTTTCTGTTCCGTCTGACCCTGTGTTGGCGGCCCCTCCCCTCCCACCCTGTGACCCCCTCCCTGTCTCTTCTCGTGGTAGCGGGTTAGCGTTTCAGTGTTCTTAACTCCAATCTGCTTGTTCATTGTACAATGTGCTTCTTTTAAGGCCCCATTTTTGTAACTTGAGTGTGTCAATTCATCTGAACAACAAACATCAAAAAATAAAAAATTAAAAACTGTACAGAGAGAAACGATGACGCTGTCCTTTGGTCTCTGGGCTCTGTCCTGGGAAGGTGATGAGCAAAGCAGGGTGTGGGGTGGGGCTGTTTGTGCTTGGGAGGGAAGTTTTACTCCTCTCCACATGCTCAATGTCCAGAAGTGAGGCCTGAACAATTTTTTCATTGATCAGAAATGAGAACTTAGGGATGAATTCAGATTCCTGCATGTGAACCTCAGTTTCACTTTATTAGATAATGTGACCACCAGGGTCCTCAATCTGTGGAACAGGGACAGTTGCTACCTCATGGCGGGTGTAAGAGCTAAATGACAGGTGATGGTATGAGTGCTTAGGCCATCTCTACTCCGCTGTCTTCAGGAGGAACTACGAGAGCGCCAGGAAACTAGGAAGTTGTCCTGCCTCCATCCCTGAGAGGTTCACTAGCAGCCAAACAAGACCCTTCAGAAAGCCCGAGCCGACTGCACCACCCACATCCTGGGGCCTCCCCTCCTTCTTTCAGGGGTGCTCACTCTCATTTACTGAGTCATATTCCCCGCCCGAGTCACTGGGCATAAGCAACCACCTCACAGCCCAGGCAATGGGCCGACTCCCAAGACCTTACCAGTAGAAATCAGAAATCACAGGGGCTTCTCACCATTGGGTAAATCCTCGTCAGTGTTTCACGTTCTGATGAGGGCCTGGTGCAGATGCTGGGATCCTGCAAACCGAGTAGTGCAGCAAGCCTGGGGGATGACAGACAGGAGGACGGAACAGAGTTGAAGCGGGATTTGATAACTCAGTAAAGTATTAACGCTGCATCGTTCTGGCAAGTTTGAAGAAAACCGAGCACCTGTCGGACGCTCACAGACAGCTCAGCGGGAAGGCCGTTCAGGGCAGTGCAGAGCCAGGCAGGTCCCGGCCCTCCTGTAACGAGCAGTTGGCACACCCAGAGCACTCCAGAGCTCCTCCGCGGTAACAGGCAGAGAGGACAGTGAGAGAGAGAGACAGAGAGAAAGGTCTTCCTTCGCCGTTGGTTCACCCTCCGATGGCCGCTGCGGCTGGCGCACCGCGCTGATCCGATGGCAGGAGCCAGGTACTTATCTGGTCTCCCATGGGGTGCAGGGCCCAAGCACTTGGGCCATCCTCCACTGCACTCCCGGGCCACAGCAGAGAGCTGGCCTGGAAGAGGGGCAACCAGGACAGAATCCGGTGCCCCGACCGGGACTAGAACCTGGTGTGCCGGCGCCGCAGGTGGAGGATTAGCCTAGTGAGCCGAGGCACCGGCCAGTAACACTCTTCTTGTCAGGAACTTCCAGGGCACGGAGGACCCTGTTTGCTTACCAAGCCTCTTGAAGGGTTGGCCAGCCATCTTCATCAGAATTGCTGTGTGCACAGCGCAGCTTCCTGGCCTCACCACAGATGGGCTGGCCAGATCCAAGTCTCAGGGGGAACTGACACACCAGTTGAGAACCTCTGTGTGCTTGGCTCCAACACCAGCATCCAGCAAGTGACTGTCGCTCTTGGGACACTGGCTGGGATGAGGACCAGGGAAGCTTCAAGCCGGGTGAGGGTGAACAAGTGCCCTGAGCTTGCTAGTAAATGTGTTTGCATACACTTTCCTCAGGGCAGGAATCTAAGCAGTTACCAAAGCAGCACGGTCACCCGCTCAGAGCCACTCTGCAGAGCACCGGTCTTGTGGTCAGACGCACCCCGTTTCCCCATCCCTGCCCCTTCTCCTGAGTCAGCCTGGTTCTCATGGTCTTGGGCAGGGATGATTCCTCTGACTGTTCTAAGCACCTATCTGGCATGACTTCCAGGACGTTACAGCTCTTCTTGAGGGGCGAGGGGCGTTCAGGAATGAATCTTTACCTCAGAAAGAACAACCAGGCACGTTGGGCTCGGACGACTCAAGTCCCCTCCGCAGGGTGTGTGATTACTGATGGTGCCTGTGACCCGCACACCGGTGGGAAACACCACACCGCTCAGTAAGGGAGTGCTCTTCGTAAGCCGAGTCCACTGGCTCCCTGCTTCTGACCCAGCTTCCTGCTAATGCACACCCTGGGAGGCAGCAGGTGATGGCTCAAATAGTTGGGTCCCTGCCACCCACATGGGAGACCCAGATTGGGTTCCGGACTCCTGGCTTTAGCCTGGCCCATCACTGGGTGTTGCAGGCATCTGGGGAGTGAACCAGCAGATGGAAGACCTCTGCCCTTCTAAAAAAGTGTGGTGGGGGGAGGGGGGGCTCAAAAAATTAAAAGGCCAGTGTAAAAAACCGCAATCAGGAGAGCTGACTTCCAGCTTTAGTTCTATCAGCTACGTGGCCTTGGCGATCTGTTCCCTCTTGGAGCCCTCTTATCTGGACAGCAGGTTAAGCCAGGAACTTTCAAACAATGCCCTACAGCCCTGGGCCTACAGAGGAGAGAACAAGTTCTAACAGAAGAATCGGGGTTCTCCTAGAGCAAGTCTGACTGGGCAACTGTGCATTCCCACCAGTCACACATACTTCCCCGAGCGCACAGACGGCAGCAGAGGGACAGGAAAGCTTAGGGGTGACTGAACCAAACGAAACCGAGCTAAAGTCACATGTGCTCTAGCAGGGCTTGAATGACCGTGGACAAGTCACCCAGTGCTTTCCATGTGGGAGTCCTTCCAGTGTTCCCACAGGATCAGTGTCATGTATGCAGAGAAAGTACTGCAGATAAACTCAGTACCCAGACATCAGCCAGCCACCGAACAGTCCTCTCCCCATGGCCAAGCCCAAGTCCAAGTCGGGGGCTTCAAGGCACCTCCCCTTATGAGGCTGTGTACCCCACCCCACATCCAGCATCTCCAACTCTGCGGCAGGGTCTGGCCCTGGAAGCCACCCTCTACCATCCCAGGGATCATGCCTGACCTGCATCTGTCCTCAGTGTGAACACCAGCCGGCCTTAGGGGACACGGCCCACATCGAGCCAGAGGGGGAGGGCTGGGATGACAAACTGAAGATTCTTCTGCCACCAGCACAGCTTTGGGTTTTCCCAGAGGGCTGTGGGGACCTCTAGTGGCAAGCACACCATACTGCCTCCAGGACTCCGGGTCCTCTTCAAGCCATCCAGTGTTTACCGAGTTTCCTGCCAGGTGGTCTGGGTGCCGTCAGAGAAGTGGGACCCGTTACCTGACCTCTTTGTTCCCAAATTCCACCCTCCATGACTGCGCCCGACAAAAGCACATCAGTGTTCAACTCGGTCTTTATTAGACTATTTCACTCTGGAGTCACCAGTGCTAGCAGGTGTGGGGGGCACCTTTACGCGTATCAAGAACCCCAGAGCACCCCCAAGAGGAGAAAATAAATTCAGTGACAGAACGTACATGGCAGCAGGGAGGGGAGAGGGTTGGGGCACGGTCTGTACGAGGTTGGGGCACTGGAGGGCCTCCAGCGAGTCACCCACTGATCTGCACGCCCTCGGCCTCCGCCAGAGGGTAGATCTCGATGGCCTCCACCAGGGGCAGAGCCTCCACCGCCGTCTCCATCACAGCCAGGCCAACGGCGGCCTCCGCCTCTGCCAGCTGCTGCCGCACGGCGGCCTGGTGCTGCTGCTGGTGGGTCTTGCGGTGCTTCCAGAGGTTGGAGAAGGAGCGGTAGCTCTTGCCGCAGTCGGGGCAGGAGTAAGGCCGCTCGCCTGTGTGGATGCGGCGATGCTCCGCGAGGCGCATGGAGATGGCGAAGGCCTTGCCACACACCTCGCAGGCAAAGGGCCGCTCGCCCGTGTGCAGGCGCCGGTGGTCTTTCAGGTGCGTGCTCTGCCGGAAAGCCTTGCCACAGTCTGGACACGGGTAGGGCCGCTCGCCAGTGTGGATGCGCCGGTGGACCTGCAGGGAGGTCTCTGTGCTGAACAGCTTCTTGCACTCACTGCATTCCAGCCCCCGGCGTCGGGCAGGGGCTGGGGCTGCGGGGGCCGCGGGGGCCGCGCCTGCGAGGGCCGCTGGCGAGGCTGTAAGTGGTGTACGAGAGGCCCGTGGGGCCCGAGGGGCCGGGGGCTCCTTAGCCAGGACCTCTCCAGGCCCAGCGGCCGCGTGGGCTGCCTCGTGTGCCTGCAGCCGAGCAGCCGAGCCCACTTTCTTGCCACAGGTGCCGCACTCAAAGCGCCGTGGGGCCTGGGCGGCGGCGGCAGCACAGCGGTGCTCCCGGAGCCGCAGGGAAGACGGGAAGGCGGCCCCACAGGAAGCGCAGCGGTGGGGCTGGCGCCCAGCGTGGGCCACGAGCTGGTGCACCTCCAGCAGCCGGCGCAGCAGGAACGAGCGGGGGCACTCCCGGCACTTGTAGGGGTATTCGCCCGTGTGGTGGTAGCGGTGCATGAGCAGGCGGTAGGGGCGGTGGAAACGCACCCCACACTCCTGGCAGCGGTAGGGGAAGTGCTGGGCGTGCACCAGGCGGTGCTGCCTCAGCGTGGAGCTCTGCGTGAACGCCTTGCCGCAGTCCCCGCAGCGGTAGGGGCGCTCTCCCGTGTGCGTGAGCCGGTGGCGAGCCAGGTTGGCAGGCGAGTTGAAGGGCTTGGAGCAGTCAGGGCAGGGGAAGGGCCGCTCCCCTGTGTGCGTGCGCAGGTGGTTACGCACGTGCGACTTCTTCTTGAACATCTTGCCACAAATGCTGCATTTATGGCGCCGCTCTAGCCGGTGCACAAAACGCTGGTGCCGGGTCAGCTGCAACGCCTTGCCGAACTCACGGCTGCACAGGAGGCAGCGGTAGGTGCCTGGGGCAGTGGGCTCTGCTGAGCTCTCCTCAGACGCAGGGGGCTCCGGGGCCTCCGCCTCTCCAGTCTCTGCTGGGGCTGGCTCGGGCAAACTGATGACAGGCTCCTCTGGTGGGACTGGCGTCGTGGGCAGAGGGACACCCCCGGCCCCGTGGGTACGCCGGTGATAAAGGAACTTGGTGAGGTTGACAAAGGTTTTCCCGCACGGACACGAGTGCAAAGGGTTTGGGGTGTGGGCCCGCCGATGGGCCAGGAGGAGGGCCTCTGTGCCAAAGGCCAGGCCACAGTCTACACACAGGAAGTGGGACTCGCTGCTGTGGTCTCCGAGGTGCTGGTCCAGGCTGGAAGGGCTGGGGAAGACACGGCTGCAGAGGGGGCACTTGAAGACGCCCTCCCTGTGGCTGCGCAGGTGCTGCTGTAGCTGGTGGGGGGAGAGGAAGAGCTGGTCACAGGCAGAGCACAGGAGCTCCTGCGAGGCCGCCCCGCCCGCCTCTCCGCTGGCGTTCCTCCGGGCCCTGCGCCCTCGGCGATCGCGCCCCACGGCTTCACCGTTGCGCAGCTCGTAACTGTGGTCCGAGGCCGGCAGGGGTTCCGGCTGAGACACGGGCACCTCCGCGGGGGGCGGGGCCAGGGCCTCCTGCTGCAAGGCGGGCTCCTCGGACGCTGGCACAGACGCAGGGAAGTGGGTGGCCTGGTGCTCCAGGAAGTCAGCCGGCAGCTGGAAGAGCTGGGAGCACTCGGAGCACTTGTAGAGCAGCAGCTCCACCTCCGTCAGCACCTCCGTGCTGCTGGCAGCCGCGGACGGCACGGCCGCGCCTTCCCCACCCTCTTCGGCCTTTCGGTACGAATGCTCCACGGCCACGCGGGCCTGGCCCACGGGAGGGCCTAGGACAACAGGGGATCCCAGGACAACCGGCGCGGGAGCCTTGGTGGGCGTGGCCCGGAGGTGCGTCTGCCGGTGGCTCAGCCAGAGCTCCTGGCTGGCAAAGAGGGCCTTGCAATCCACACACTCATAATGGATGGTGCTGGAGCTCAAGGCGGGCGCTTTGGGCGGCGGCTCGGCTGGCACCGCCTCCTGGGGGGCCATCATCTTCAGGTGCAGCTCCTGGTGCTCCAGGAGCTGGCTGGGTGACAGCAGCAGCTGCCCACACTCCAGGCACTGGTACTGGCTCTCCTGCACTAGGGTCTGATACAAGCCCGTGCCCGACGCTGCCTCTGTGGCCACGGTGACTCCAGGGTCGGCAACGCCCACCAGCTCGAAGTGCTGCTGGGGCACATGGGAGTTCTGGTGCACGAGCACCTCCTCCAGCGATCCGTAGAGCTGGTTGCACTCAGAGCAGACATAGCGGTGCTCAATGTACAGGACCGTCTCCTCCGACTCCTCCGTCATGGCGGCAGCGAGGCCCTGGGCTGCGAGGGGAAGAGCAGAGACCGAGCATCAGGCCCTGCTTCCAGACCCCTCAGCTGTTCCCTGTGTCGCCCCCCAACACCGCAGGTCTCTTTCCCCCTCTAACTTCTTCCATTTTTCCCCACTCCCACCCCCCTCCCTAATAATCCTTTCTCCCCGAGCACATCATCTTCCCAGGGACCCAACCCAAGTCTCACCTCTGCATCAAACTCCACCCACCAGATCCTTGTCACCTGTGCAGTCCCCGCATCTCCTGTGCCTCCCAGTAGCTCCAAGGCCCTGCCCGTCACACAGCAGCCTGTCTCCCCTCCACCCGGACCTCCTCCGCGGACTCCTCACCAGCTCGCCCTCACAGGCCCTGGCTGCCCACTTCTCCCAGCCACACTCCCCCCACTATCAGCCCCCCTTCACACCCAGACTGCCCCAAGCCCTGCCACGGTGCACCCCCCACCCTGCTACCCGCTCTCCCTACTACCCCTTCCCACCCCCGCCCCGCGTTTCTCAGGCTGGCCTAACCCATGCCTACATCTAGACCCTCTTCCAGATACTGACCCCCTCCACAATCGCGGCCCAGACCCACCCGCACAAAAGCCAATCTTTTCTTCAAACTCAGACCCTCCCACCACCCAGCCCCGGCACCTGTGGTATTCAGACTTCCCATCAAGCACCTCTGTACCAACAGCAAATCTACCACTCTGCCCTCTCTGGGATACCAGAATGCCCTCTTCCAATGACTTCAACCCCTTCTCTTTAAATACAACCAACACATTCAGGGATAGTTCGACTCCCTCTTCCTAGCAACCTAGAGCCCCTCTGCAAAAACGCCCACCCCAAATCCAAACCCATCCAGGGACACCCAGGCCCCCTTCACATCGTCAGCCTAACCCTTTCTCATTCATAAAGACCCACCCCCACCCCAGCCCATTGCGGGATGCCTAGACCCCTTGTCTGCGGATTCCACTCCTCTTTGCCCAAGACCCCCCGCGCTCTACCCACCTAGAGGTGGCTGGCATACCCTTCCCCATGGCTTCAGTCCTTTACACACACCCCTCCCACTGCCCAAACCCCCTTGGGGATACCCAGACCCCCCCCCCCAGTCTCATGCAGAAACCCCATCAACACGCGCGTCCAGAAGCCCTCCTCCTCCTTACACCCAAACCCCTCTCACCAGCACACTCAGGCCCCCCAACTCTTCACCACCCTAACATCTCATTCGCATTCCAGGAGTACCCTGAACCCCCTTCCTTAGGCACACGCACCTGTCTCCCTATCCCCACCCCATCTAACACCTGGACCTCTCTCCCGGCACTCAAGCCCCTTTAGGGATGCCCACTTCCTAGGATCTTTTCCCAGCAAAACCCTGCCCTAATTCTCCCATTTGTTTCCCCCACTTCAACTTCATTACCTCTTTTCTCACGCCCTAAACTCCCCGGCCCCCAACCCCCTGTCCTCGCTCCTGGCTTTCTCCCACCACCCCAACGACCCTTGGCATCCTCACCGCGGGGGAGCTCTAAGGGCCCCCCTCTTCCCACCCAGGTCCCTCCCGGCCCCGAGGCCGAGCCCCGCCCCTGCTCAGCCCCACCGCTCGCCTCTAACCCCCTTTCCCACCCGCCGCCCCGCACCGGCCCCTCTAGGCCGCCCGCGCGCCCGGCGGGCCGTTGGTGCCGCTCCGCCCTCGCCGGCCGGCGCGCGCCCCCCTCGGGCCTTCAGTGCGCAGGCGGAGTGACGAGGGCAGGCCGCGGGGCCAGGGCAGGGCGCTGGGCCGGCCCTCCACGCGACCGCTCACTCACCCGCCTCCGCCGTCTCGCACGCCCCGGGCCCGAGCCCGGGCCCTAGCTCCCCTTGCACGGCCACCCTAGCGCTGCGCCCTCTCTAGCTCCCGCGGTCTCCTCTCGCCTGCTCCGCAGCCTCGCTCTCGCCCCGAGCCGCCCTCACCAACGCCCCTCCCACCTTCCTCCTCGGTCGCTGCGCGGACGGCCGAACGCGTCCAATCATCGCCCGTCTAGTTCCTGCCGTGCGACCAATCGTTGCTCGTGTTTCTCAGGCCTGGGCCAATGAGACAGAGGGTTGGGATAGCCGCAGCGCTCAACCAATCGTCTTCCGACGTTCGCTCATTGGCAGGCCCCTGGGTTGGTAGCGACCGCCCCCATAAGCCTCCCTAGAGGATGCTCCTCCCCCTCGACTCCGCCTCTGAGGGCTCGAGATGGGAACGCCGCGCTGAGAGCAGCGCGGTGACGTCAGGCGGCGGAGCGAGGCTGGGCCGCCATCTTGGGGGCTCCGTGCTGGAGTTGGCGTCTGGGTCGGGGTTTGGGGGTAAAAGTCTGGGAAGTTGAGGCACGTGAGACCCGGAGGGCGGGAGCGGGTGAACTGAGGCCCAGGAGCCCCGGAGGGTCACAAGTAGGAAGTGAAAAACCACTCGCAGCGTAGGTGCGGGTGAACCGCAACACCCATCACAGGAGTCCAGGGGAAACCGAAGCTCCGCACCCACTTTATTAGAAACGGGAAAATGAAGGCGGAAGAAAGGGGACAAAACCCGAGGGGCCTTGGGGTGAGGAGGTTGAAATGATGAGGGGAAATCAGTGAAGGACTCTGGACAAACAAGGAAGAGCTGAGGGCTGCGGGGTTGGGGGGTGGCCGTGGGAATGGGAGGAAGAAGAGGGGGCACCAGGGAGAGGAAGTTAGCTGAAGAAACGGGAGTGTAGAGGACACTGAAGGGGAGAGCCGGAGGAGGTGACCCTGCCCCTGCCCCTGCCCAGCTCCCGCAGTGTGGGTCCGCCGTGTCCGAGGGGCCTCGGTCGGTGCCTGCTTGCCAACTTCGCTGCCCGCCCACCGCACTTCGGGAGGAGCTGCCCCAGCATAGTTGGAAATGTTTCGGAGAGTCACTCCGTGCACCCAAGGACGGGGTCAAACCTCCCCTCCCCACCCCTCCCGTTTTTCAGATTAGGAATCTTGGAGTCGGGTCATTTCCCCACCTGAGACCCCCACTCCCCCAGCCCTCTCCCCCCCCCCCCCAAAAAAAAAAAGCTACCGGGAGTGCAGAACCTAGTGAAGATCTAGGTCTGACTTAAGTCGTCACCTTTGCTGTGCCCTTCAGCTAGCCGGTCTCTGGGTGTCCTAACTTACCACGTGATTCAGCTCCCCAGCCCCAGGCCCATGGGTCAGGACTGTCTGGACGGGGGTCCTGGCCCTGCCACTTCTAGCTGTGACCTTAGAGAAGGCAACTCCCCTGTGTCTCAGTTTTCTCATGTGAAATGGGGATAAGAGCCTCTGCAGATCTGGGGGAGATGCAGAGAACAATTTGGGAGTTATTTTTCCTGGTAACTGGAGGAGCCTCAGGTTCTGTGGTTGTGTGTGGAGTAGATGAACACAGGAAGTTTGGGGGGATCAGCGTTAAAGCTGGGACCAGCCTGCCGTGAGGCATCCGAATCCGTTCTTGGGACGATGGCACCTCCGGTTGGGGCTGGGCTCCGCCTCTGACAGACAGGCCCCCTGTGTCTGCGGGCAGGCTCCAGCTCCTGAAAACCCAGGGTCCTGCTTGCCTTCCGAGGCCTCTCTCTGTGAAGTCCTTTCTCTTCAGATGCTGCCTGGAGCAGGTTTTCTTTTCTTTCTTTTTTATGGTAGTTTATTTTTTTTTAACTTTTATTTAATGAATATAAATTTCCAATATGGTAGTTTATTTTTAAAAATTAATCATTTGAGGGCTGGCGCCGCGGCTCACTAGGCTAATCCTCCGCCTAGCGGCGCCGGCACACCGGGTTCTAGTCCCGGTCGGGGCGCCGGATTCTGTCCCGGTTGCCCCTCTTCCAGGCCAGCTCTCTGCTGTGGCCAGGGAGTGCAGTGGAGGATGGCCCAGGTGCTTGGGCCCTGCACCCCATGGGAGACCAGGAAAAGCACCTGGCTCCTGGCTCCTGCCATCGGATCAGTGCGGTGCGCCGGCCGCAGCGCGCCGGCCGCGGCGGCCATTGGAGGGTGAACCAACGGCAAAGGAAGACCTTTCTCTCTGTCTCTCTCTCTCTCACTGTCCACTCTGCCTGTCAAAAAAAAAAAAAAATTAATCATTTGAAAGGGAGAGAGATAAAGAGATCTTCCATCGGCTGATTCACTCCCCAGCTGGTGAGGCAGGCCAAAGCCGGAGCCAGGAACTCCATCCTGGTCTCCCTGTGGTGGCGGAGACCCAAACTTGGGCCGTCACCTGCTGCCTCCCAGGGCGTGCATAAATCAGGATGCTGGACCAGGAAGCACAGCAGGGAGTCAAGTCCAGCACTCCGATGTGGGCTGTGGGTATCCCAAGTGGTGTCTTAACTGCCGAGCCAAACACCTGCCCTGGGTCTCTCCAGAGGTAGCACTAGGACTTTGGGGACAAGTTGAATTTAGAGAAGATAGGTATTCTGTGTTGGGGTGCCTGCCCAAGGAAAGGCCTACTGGCAGGTAGGCGTACAGCTGTCAGGCCTGACTGGAACTGAGAGTGGGTTTTAGGGAGGCCGAGTAGGGTGATGGGGGTGGACCGTCAGGGTAAGGATATGGCAGGTGCATGTCAGGGGTGCCCCACATAGCAGCTGCACAGGTCTTCCCAGGCCACTGTGTGTGTGTGTGGCCTGAGTTGCCACGTGCCAGCTGTGTGTGCAAGGCATGTGGTCACATGTGCTGGGGGGCTGCACGTGAGTGTGCCTGTGTCTCCTCCCCATCACGAGCCTCGGGGGTGGCAGTGAGTCACAGGCTCAGCCTTCGGCACCAACTGTCATGTTCCTTCCCCCCAAATTTCAACCCCCTCCCAGCCACACACCACCCACCCCCTCTCTAAGATCTGTGTCAATTCTTTTTCTGCCTGCCCTGCTCGCTCCCTGGGAGGGGCACAGTGTTCCCCTGGAAGGTAGTCTCCCACTCTGGGTCTGCCCACCAGCTCTCTGCCCTTGTCCCCCCTCCTCTCTGCCTCTGCTCCCACCCACTCATCTCCATGGAACCCACAGATTTCTCTAGGTCCCAGGGAGAATTCCTGTGCTTAGCACCCATTTCCTTCCCTCTACAGGGGCTATTCTATTTGGGGGGGCTCCTATCACTGGGCCTTTAGTGTCTATGAGCCACGTCCTTGTCTCTGAGGGTCCCCTTGGAACCTGTGGGCCTGCCCCGGCTTCTGTGAACTTCTTCCTCGTCCCAGGTCTGTGGCCTCGGCTCATCTTCAAGGGGCTGTCTCAGTGCACAGCGGCCCCTTGTCTCCATGGGCCCTTTGACCCTGTCTCCTGGACCTTGCCTTATCCTTGTGCTTGTTGGGTTCAGAGCCTTGGCCCACCTATCTGGGTCTGGAGACTGGCCTTTCTGTTTCTTTGCATTTTTTTTTTTCATCTCTGTAGCCCTCTCCTCCATCTCCAAGGCCTCCTCCCCGTGTCTCCCAGCTGCCTCTCATCTCTATGGGCTCCTGTGCCCAGGGCTGCCTGGACAGGGCGGTGGCACCGTGTGGTGGAGGGGGTGGCCCCGGGGGTGGGCCCGCCGTCCAATGCAGCTCCTCTTCTCATCAGCATTCTCCTCGCGGGGGGCCCCCCAGTCCCGACCAATACGGGCTCCCCCAGCCCCCTCCCTCCGCGCTCTCAGCCTGCCTCCCTCCCGCCCGCCCGCTCACCCGCCCTCCTCCCCTCCTCCCTGCCTCCCTCCCTCCATCTCTCGTTCCCCCCGCCCCCCGCGCTCCAGGACCCAGCGCGGGCGGCGGGCGGGCGGCGGGCGGGCAGGCGGGCAGGCGGCCTCGGAGGGGAGAAGGAGCGGTGGCGGCGGCCGGCGGCGGGCGGGCAGGCAGGCCCAGCTGGGAACCCGGAGTCGGCGGCGGCTGCTTCTCGCGGGGGACCAGGAGTCTGTGGCTGGGCCCTCCCTCCAAGGCCCTGCACAGGCAGCCCCCGGGACACCCCACCCTCCTCCGCCTTCTTCCACCTGCTCCTCGCCATCCTCCCTCCCACCCCCCCCAACCCCCAATCCTTCCACCTCGTCTGCCCCCTGCTTGGCTTCTTTGGGGCTGCCAGCCCCCATCCTTGCCAGCCAGCCCCTCCACTGCTGGGGCTCTCCCCGCCCCCAGCATGCTTTTCCCGTGGGGGCTGTGAGCTTGAGGACTCCCGGGCCCCTCGCTGTCTCCAGGGCCGGGCCAAGGCTCCTGGGGGGAGGGGGGGAAGGGGGCGGTCCCCTCCCCCCCTGTCAGGCCCTCCCCTCCCCCACTTCTCCTGATGGCCGGCTTCTTCTTCTCCACCCAGTCCTCGCCCCCCGTGGCCCCCCCAGGCCGGCCAGGCTAGGGGAGGGGGCGGGGGCCCTTTCCTGGGCCGGCTTCCCCCTCCCCCGGCTTCGCCCGTGCCTGTTCCCCTCCGTTCTCGCCTTCCTCTCCTCTTTCTCCCTCTCCTCTCTCCCCTTCTCTCCTCCATTTTCTCCTTTCCCCTTCCTCCCCTCCCCGGCCCGCCCTCTCCTCTCCCACCTGTCCTTCCTTCTTGCTCCTGGGGAATCGCCGTTTTGGATTAGTTGGGGGCCACCACGGACGGCGGTGGGGGAGGGGGCCCCGTGGACTGCCCTCTCCCCCCGCCCCAGCCGCACACCGCCAGCGCCACAGCATCTCCCGCTGTCGCTCCTCGGGCCTCGAGGGAGCCCAGCCCTCCGTCCCACCAGGATCCGTGAGTGTCTGCAGGGCGGGGACTGGGCTGGGTCCTGGGTCCTGGAAAGCTGTGCTCACTGCGCCCGGGTAGACAAGGGGCCTGCTGGGCGCCCTCCACCTCCTCAGCCTGCCTCCACCTCCACCTCCCCTCACCCCCTCCCGGCTTCCCCGGGGTCCTGAGGGCTGATAGCTCTTACTTGCCGTCTCACTTCTTCCGGCTCCCGGCGTGTCCCTGCCCCTGCTTTCTCCCTGCCTCACCCGGTCCCAGCCAGGCTCTCTGTCTCTGTCTCTCTCACACACTCTGGTCCAGTCTCTGCCACCCTCTCCCTCTGAGCCCCATCCTGCCTGCCTGCCACAGTGCCACAGGCCCTGTCCCCATCCCATGCCAGCTGGATTGCCTGCAAATGGCTTTCTGCTTCCCAGTCTCCATTTCATGTGTCCCTGGGCTCTCCCTGACTCTGCCCAACTTCTCTCTCTGCTGTTGGCCTAACCCTGTCTCGGTGTCTCTGTTGATCCCCCTACCCCCAGTCAGAGCTCCTGTCCCTCCTCCTCCCTTCCCGAAGCTCCCCAGCCAGGCCTAGCTCCTTCATGTCTCTCTCCACTCCCCCCCACCCCATCTCTGGGCCTCCCCCAGACTCACTCTGGAAGCCCTGCTCCTCCAGCCGTCACCTCTTAGCGGCTGTCCCTCCGCTCTGTGACTCCTTGGTGGTCTCCTCCATGCTACAGTCCTCTCCCAACTTGTGCATCAGCCCACCTGGCCTTCCTCCGCATGCCTGGGGGCTCCGCTCCCCCGCCACCGCCAGCATCCGTGTCCCTGAGCAGCCTGTGTGGGCTGCCTGGGCCCCTCCAGGGCGCTCCCGCTTCCTCCCTGCCTGTGGGTTCTCCCTGGGGCTTGTCAGTCCTGCATCGCCCCTCCAGCCCCCCTCCTCCTGTACCTGCTGTGCTGACTCTCACAGCAGCCCCTCTGGGCAGAGTTTTGCCAGCTTCTCTCCTCCCCCAAATTCTCGCTCCTGCCCTTGTTTTCCCTGCCTGCTCCCTCACCTGGTTTGCCTTCGCTGACTCTCAGCCTTCTTGCCTTTGCCCCTTGGCTGGCTGTCTGGCTCTCCGTCTCTCTCTCTCCCTCTCCCTCTCCCCTCTGCTGTCTGCTATGTGTTGACTCCTACCTGGGTTTGCTTGAGTCTCTGATCCTGACTCCCCACCCCTCCTTTGTCCCCTTTAGTGTTTCACTTCTAGGCTGGCTGTCTTCTCACATGTGCCCCCCCCCCCTTATTGGCAGTGTCTGCTATGTCCATTTGCTTCTGTGAAGGCTGTCCCTGCACCCCTGTCTGTCTTTCTGCTCCTCTCTGTGTCTGCCACCTGTGGGTCCCAGGCCTTTTGCCCTAGATTTCTCCATCTTCCTGTTGCATGGTCTCGGCTCCTCTGTTTGCCCCAGCAGTCCTTGCTGTCCCCAGATGGCCCACCGCACTCCTGCCTGGCTCCGGGCCCCACCCCCATGAGTTGTCCCTCCAGCTCTCTCAGGGTCCCTTGTTCTTCCACCCGCAACAGGCCAAATTCCAGTTGTCACCAGCTTGCCCAGCGTGCCCTTCCACACCCAGGCTTCTCCTTCCCAGAGGCCCAGAGAGAAGGAGAAGTGACTTGTTCAAGGTCACTTGGCAAGGTGGGGGCAGAGCTGGGGCTGGCCCTGTCTCCTGCTGCCCTGGCCTGGGCTTCATGGCCACATAAGGTGGACTCAGGTGTTGACTTGTACCTCTGCCCTCTCACCAGCTCATTCCTCTTTCATGGGGACCCAGTGGGGTGCAGGGAGATACCCAGGCTCACCTCATAGCATTCCCTCTCCCAAAGGAACGCAAGAGTCCTTCCCCTGGGGAAGGCACGTGGAGCCACGCTCATCCCTGCCTGGTGGTGCCCTGTAGAAGTCCGGGGTGCCTGGAGCAGCCCCTAGCACCCTGGGGTGCCGAGTAGTGAGGAACCAAGATGCACTGGTACCCCCTTTCCTTCAGCTCCCCAGGGCAGGGTGGGCTGCAGCACTTGGGACCCCTTCTCTGGCACTCCCAGCCTTCTTCCAGCTCTCCTTGCTTGCATCCCCGTCAGTTCCTGGCGTCTCCACGCTGTCTTCGTCTTTCTGTGTCTCTCCTGTGCCTTGGTTTCCCATTCTTCCTTTTACCCTGCTCAGGCTCTCCCTGCTTCTGTCTTTCTCTGCCTCCACATCTCCCCATTTTCCCGTCTCCCCCTTTTCTCCTAGCCCCATCCCTAGCTCCCTGGAACTCCTCTTTGTGTCTCTAGTTTGCTCCCCTTTCTTCTCTTCGTTTTTCTACTCCATTATATTTCTGTGTGCTTTTTCTTTTCTGCTTTTCTGAGTCTCTCCCTCTCCCCCAAACCTCTCTTCCACTTTCCAATTCTGTTTCCTTTCCTTACTCTTTTTTTTTGTTTTGTTTTGCCCTTTGCTGATTCAGTCCATTCATCTGTGTGTCTCCATGTGTGTCTGTCTCTCCCCCTCTCTGTCTCTTCTCCCTCCAAGTTTCCTAACTCCCAGATACTCTGCCCTCCAGACCCCGGATGTCCAGGCCTCTCTCCCTGTGGGATTGTGGGAACCAGGGACGTCAGGAAGGTGGCAAGTGAAGCTTGGGATGGAGTTGCCTAGCAACTGCTGCATCCTCTCCAGCCTGTTTTGGTTGCCTAGTAACGGCTGCCTGCCCAGAGACAGGGGCGGGACCGGGTGGGAGAGTGGTACTTCCTGGTTTCTAGTTGGGGTGGGGCTGGTCCGTGGAACTCACTGCTGCCTGAGACCCGTGGTCTGCTTCCTGCCTCCCGCAGAGCCTGTCCTACTCAGTGTCTGATCGTGGCCCCCAACCCCAAGCCAGGCTTCCCCTCTGGTGATGCCCTCCGCACTGCCAGCTGCAAACCAAAGCAGCTGTGGAGCTGTGACTGCCTCACCAACAGTGTCCGAGGGGCTGTGGGTGCCAGCCCCACCGACAGTGCCCCAGCATCAGCGATCTCCCCATGACGCGGGGATCTCCCACAGGTGGCGAGTGGGGGCCGCGGCAGCTGCGTCCCCATGAGGAGGAGAGGAAGATGCCGGCTGAGCTGCTGCTGCTGCTGATTGTTGCCTTCGCCAGCCCCAGCTGCCAGGTGCTCTCATCACTGCGCATGGGTGAGGCCCTGCGGCACCTGCCCCCGCCTCCTCTGAGACCCGCCCTCTCTGGGAACCCAGGAGTCTGGGCGCCAGCAATGAGGGCTCCCAGCCCTGAGCCCCTTCCACTTGGACCCAGGAGTCCAGACCCCAGCCCCTCCTTCCCACCAGGAGTATGGTCCCCAGCCCCTGTGTCCCCTCAGCTGCGATCCTGGACGACCAGACCGTGTGTGGCCGCGGCGAACGTCTGGCCCTGGCCTTGGCCCGGGAGCAGATCAACGGGATCATTGAGGTCCCAGCCAAGGCCCGAGTGGAAGTTGACATCTTTGAGCTGCAGCGGGACAGCCAGTACGAGACCACGGACACCAGTGAGCGGGGCCCTGAGGGTGGGGGAGGCATGACGGGCTGGGGACCCTCAGTCTCTCCCCTGCCCAAGGCCTCCGCAGCTCAGCCACGTTCCTCTTCTAGCTCCATCTGTCCCTTTCCTTCATGTCTGTCTCTGCCTTCTCCTTCCCAGAAGTGGCTCCTGCTGGCTCCAGGGGCTCAGGGGTGGGGAGTTGGAGAAGGCTAGAGTGGTGCTGAGGGTTGAGAGGTGAGCAGGATGTAGGAAGGGCATCGCCACAAGCAGCGCTGTGGAGTTGGGCCTGCCACATGGTGGGTGCCAGGCTGACTGTTGAGTGCCGACGGGCTGAGCGAGGTTAAGAGGTGTCACTCGAGCAGGTACACTGGGCTTATAGACTCTTCCTGGGAGGCTGCCTTCAAAGGTACTTTCCATGGGTCTCCCTCCCACAGGCCTTCCCGAAGGCTTTATCGTGTTCCTGTTGCTGTTCCTGTATCAAGGCCCTAAGAGAATGGGTTGCGGTGTTGCTGGGTTTGTTTGGTGTGGTGCAGAGCACAGTTTGGGCAATGCTGGAGTGGGGGGTGAGGAGGCAGAGAGCTGGGGCCTGGAGCTGGGCAGCCAGGAGAAGTGTTTGGAGATGAGAAAGAGGAATGAGGTGTGGGGTTCAGCCCATCCTGACCACCTAGACTCAGGAGGTGTTTGGGGACGGGGATTGTGGGCTAGATGTGACAGGGGAGGCTGGATGCATCAGGCCAGCCAAGGAGACCTGCAGTGCCGGGGCAAAAGGTGCCCTCTTCTCTCGCAGGCGGTCAGGAGCCGGGGATGGTCTTAGACAAGGGAGCTGGGCTTGGGGAAGGGGAATCTGGAGATGGGATTTGGGCAATGCCTGAGAGGCTTGTGCCTGCTGGACTTGAGTCCCAAAGCAGTGCAGGGGCCGAGGGCTTAAAGCGATGCAGACAGATAGGAGAGAAGTTGACGATAAAGAAGGGACAGGGCTTGGCGACTTGTGGGCTGAGGGAGAGGGATTGAAGGCCAGGAGCCCTTGCAGGCACATCGCCTGTGCGGACGGTGGGGCTGTCTCCAGTGTGGAAGGCACACGTTTAGAGGAAGACGAGGTACTCCGTGAAGATGCTTTTAGTGACAAGGGCAGAAACCTAGCTCAGGCTGGTTTAAGAGAAAAACCTTGCCAGCTCACGTGACATCACCAAGAGGACTGGGGCATGGCTGTGTCTGAGCAATCACGTGATATCCTATGATTGTTTCAGGCATGGCTGGATCCAGGTGTTCAAATCATGGTACAGGAATTTCTTTAAAAAAAAAAATTGTGTTCCTTTATTTGAGAGGCAAAATGACAGAGAAGAGTGAGAGCGAGAGCTTCCACCTGCTGGTTCACTCCCCGTGCATCTGCAACACCCAGGGTTGGGCCAGGCTGAAGCCAGGAGCCTGGACTCCATCCCAGTCTCTCCAGTGCGTGTCAGGGACCCAAGTATTTGGGCCATCATCGACTGGCTTCCTAGGCACATTGGTAGGGAGATGGATTGGAAGTGGAGTAGCTAGGACTCAAGCCAGCAGTCGGATATGGAATGTAGGTGTTGTCAGTGGCAGCTTCACCTGCCACTGCACAGTGCCAGCCCCGAGCTCTCTGTATTTATCTCTGGACCTGGCTTTCCTCTGAGCTGGTTCCATTTTCAGGAGTGTGCTTCCCAGCTGGTGGCACGATGGCCCCAGCAGCTCGAAGTTTATATCTTGCTAGTCGAGGAAACCCAGTAATAATTGCAATAGGAGACCTGGGAAAGGCTCTGTGTGGTCAAATTTGAGCCCATACCCATCTGTGAACTGGTCTCTGTGCCTGGGAGGATGTAGTTGTGATGGGCCAGGCCTGAGTCTTTTTTTTTCCCCCAGATTTATTTATTTGTAAAGTAGAGTTACGGGGAAAGAGAGACAGACAGACAGACAGACAGACACACACACACACACACAGAGATCTGCCATCTGCTCGTTCAAATGCCCACAACAGCCAGAGCTGGGCCCATCTGAAACCAGGAGCCAGGAGCTTCTTCCAGGTCTCCCACATGGGTCCAGGGCCCTAAGCACTTGGGCACCTTCCACTGTTTTCCCAGGAGCATTAGCAGGGAGCTGGATTGGAAGTGGAGCAGCCGGGACTCAAACTGGCGCCCATATGGGATGCTGGCAGCACAGGTAGTGGCTTTACCCGCTACACCACAGCTCCGGCCCTGCGGCCTGAGTCATAATACCAGTCCAGACCCATGGACTGAGAGGCAGGGCAGTTCCCCCAGGAAAAGCTGGGCAAAAACAACAGCTGTCCACTCTCATTCTAGAGACCAGCACCGGCTCAGGGGGAAGCAGGAGCAGAACCAGTGCGGTGTTGGAGTGCGCAGATCCAGGGGACCACGGCTGAGCTCTGTGCTGGGGTGCTGGGGGCATTATAGGTGGTAGCCAGTTAGGAAAGCTGCAGAAGGTGGTGGTCCATAACTGGGCCCTGGGTTTAGTGTCAGAAAGTGGCCCCGGTGTCTGTCTGTCTTGGCCCCTTCCTGTGTGTCTGCCTTCATCTGCCCTGTCCCTCTGTTGCTTTGTCTTCTGTTTCTCCGGCTTGTGCCCCCTCCCCCTCTATGCTGTCTTAGGCAGGTGGAGGAGAAGCAGGTAGTTCCAGTGTCCGGATTCCCTTTTGGGCTAGGGTGGCGCCATGGGGTGGGGCAGGAAAGGAGGCAGAGGGTTCCTGACTCTGGCCTCTTTCCCACCCCTTCAGTGTGTCAGATCCTGCCCAAGGGGGTCGTGTCTGTCTTGGGACCCTCGTCCAGCCCAGCATCTGCCTCCACTGTGAGCCATATCTGTGGGGAGAAGGAGGTGAGGCGGGGAGCGCGGGCTGGGCCGGGCCAGGGTGGGTCCCTGGGGAGGAGGAGGGGATGGAAGCCGAGGCTTCTTCTCTGTCCAGATCCCCCACATCAAGGTGGGTCCTGAGGAGACGCCCCGCCTGCAGTACCTGCGCTTCGCATCTGTCAGCCTGTACCCCAGCAACGAGGACGTCAGCCTAGCTGTCTCCCGGATCCTCAAGTCCTTCAACTATCCCTCAGCCAGCCTCATCTGCGCCAAGGCTGAGTGTGAGGGGGGGCCCTGGACGCTTTGTTTTCTCTTACCCCCGTCCCCCTTACCAAGCGATCTGCATCCCACGCAGCCACCCACACTCCCTGGCTAGAACCTTGGGGGACCCAGGCCACTCCCCTTCCAGAGTGAGCTCTCTGGCTCTGTCGGCCACCTCCTCTTCCAAGAGGCCTGTTTGGTCCACAGGTGGTGAGCCAGAGGCTGCCAGGCCCTGGGCACGAGGGGATTCCGGGGCTGGGGGAGGCCGCGGGTGCCAGCTGTCATGATACAGAGTAGGGCGTGCAGGGCCTCTAGGAGCAGGTAGGAGGGATCCTAGGCAATCGGGGAGGTCAGAGCCCACGTCCTGGAGAGGGGGACATCTGAGCTGAGCCTTTGGGCACGAGTGCGTGTCCAGCGCAGGGCGTGGGGCGGGGCAGAGGCGAGTGAGCCTCAAGGATGCTCCTGGGGCCAGCGTGTGGGATGTGACGCAGGAGAGGGTGGTGCCAAGGGGCACAGGAGGAAGAGCTGAGCGTGGACTGGGGATCCCCGCGGGATGTGCTGGGGACAGTGGGGAGAGGAAGGGTGGGCGAGGGGAGAGGGCGGGCGGCTTCAGCCGAGGGCAGGAAAGCAGTCAGCTGAGGGGCACGCGTGGGTGTGGCGTGTCCTGGTCAGGTCACTGGTGAGGAGCCTGAGGGCGGTGGTGCTCCGTGAGCTCAAGAGGGGTCTCCCAGAAGGTGTTCAGTGAGCACCTGCTGTGTGCCACACACTGTTCTTGGTATCAGGGAGAGCAGTGAGTGAAGCAGCAGGGACCCCTCCCCTCGTCAAGCGTCCATGCTCCTGAGAAGACCTAGACAGGAAACGGGTGGACAAGCACTTTGTGCACGTGTGGCTCCCGGGAGTAGCTTCTGAGGGAGAGGAGAAGTGAGTAAGGAGGACGCGCGGAGTAGGTGGCCTCTGAGTAGAGGCCCAGATGAGGTGAGGGAGGGGCTGGGGCGGGGGACAGAGGGAACGGCCAGGGTGGAACACGGCAACTTGTCTGCTGGACGCGGAGCAGCCAGGAGACAGGTGCAGCAGGAGCAGAGTGAGTGGCGGGCGAGGAGAGGAGGAGCCAGCAGAGGCCTTGGGCTTCGAGGGGCATGTGCACGTCCTTCACCCTGGCTCGTGTAGGGGCAGGCTCAGGTGCGAGTGTGGCAGCAGCCAGGGTGGTGATGGTGGCGTGGTGTGATGGGATCCGATGTGATTTGAAGGTAGAGGCTAGGACTGGGCATGGGTGAGGGAGAGACAGGAAGTCAGGCTGCTGTCATGGGTTTGGCCTGAGCGACTGGCAGAAAGGAACCACTGTTCATCGACTGGAGGTGTTACTGCAGGTGCCCGTCAGACACGCCGGTGGGACTCAGACGGGAATCTGGAGTTCTGGGGCGAGGTCGAGGTTGGGTTATTATTTAAGGAGGAGCCGTGCATCATGTCACCAAGCCAGAACCCAAGGGAGCCAGCTGTACTCTGGACAGCCACCCCCCTCCTCAGCTCCCGCTGCAGTCCCTGGTCCGTGAGGGAGGAGGGAGACAGCAGGGCTCTGACCCTGGCCTGCTGCCGTCCTCAGGCCTGCTGCGATTGGAGGAACTGGTCCGTGGCTTCCTCATCTCCAAGGAGACTCTTTCGGTGAGGATGCTGGACGACAGCCGGGACCCCACGCCCTTGCTCAAGGAGATCCGTGATGACAAGGTGTCCACCATCATCATTGATGCCAACGCGTCCATCTCCCACCTCATCCTCCGCAAGGTGGGCCTCCCTCTGCCTGCAGTCCCCCAAGCGGTCCGGTGTTGGAAACCTGCGGTGATTGTGAGCAGATCACCAATGCCCTGACCCTCCCCGTGTGTAGATGGGGTCCATCACATTTGTCCTGTAGCGTGGCGGCTTCCTGGTCGCAGGCCCAGGACAGTGCCCTCATTGCTGGGCTGTGGGACAGTGGCAGTTCCCACCTCCGTGGGTGCTGAGAGAGGAAAGCCCAGGATGGCACTGGCTGAGTCCCAGCACCTCGGGGCTGTTCTTGAGCTTGAACTGAGGGGTTTTGCGTGTGTCTGACTTGACCCACCCCACGTGCAGGGCAGGTGTCGTGACCATTTTGGGGAGGAAGAGGCTGGATTCATGAGGGACAGGGCTCCAAGGCACCCAGAGCCCCAGGACCTTGCCCAGGGCCCCCGCACCTCTGTCCACCACTAACTCACACTCATTGTTCGTGTGTCTCCCTGCTTTTAATTTTTTCCTTGATAATCAAATCTATATTAGTTATTTTTCTCCACTTCAAAAAAATCTGAATGTGTGTCACTGTTGGCCTTAGCTCACAGGAAGAGGTATGACTGAAGTCCCTTGGGCTCCTGGAACCGGGTGGCCCAGGGCACAGCGGTCAGGCTCAGGTCTCCGCTTCCCTGACACCCACTTGCTAAGCGGCCGCTCCGGCCACTCTGGCAGTGCAAACTGATGCCTTTCAATGCACTGGCTGTGATGGGGTCAAGGTCAGGCACTCGGCACTGGCAGCTTTTCCAGATTCCACTCCTGGAGAACTATGAGAAAGGGGCCCCAGAAACGGAATCTTGAGAGTCCGGTCAGCTGTCCTCTGCTGCAAGGTGCTTTTCTGACTGCAAGACCAGCCTGACCCTGTGCAGGACAGCTGCAGCCGGCTCTCTGGGGATAAGTCTCGCTCCCGAGGCTTCCAAAGGGCTGACTTGGACAGAAGCCTCAGCACTCTGAGGAGGGGCAGAGGCATCCGAAGGCCCCGCCTCTCCCCCGGAAGGCCCCGCCTCTCCCCCAGCAAAGGCTCCCTGTCTTCTGGGGCACAGTCAGTGTGTGAGATGCAAGCCGCCGAGCTGCCCTCTGCCTGCACTATTTCCTCGCCCATCTCCCATCTCTGGGCATCTCTTACCATGTCTTGCACTGGTGTCTCCTCACCAGGCCTGTCTTTAAATCTTTCTTCCTCACTTGGGTCCTCCCCACCTCTGCGTGTGGGTCCCTGCCTCTCCCGCCACCTCTTGATCTCTCCTGTGTTCTCCAGGCCTCGGAGCTGGGAATGACCTCAGCATTTTACAAGTACATCCTCACCACCATGGTGCGTACCCCCACTCCCTGCCCCGCCCCCTGCACCTGCCCCACTCGGGCAGGCCCCGGGCCTCACCGCCTCTTTTCGTTTCCAGGATTTCCCCATTCTGCATCTGGATGGCATCGTGGAGGACTCCTCCAACATCCTGGGCTTCTCCATGTTCAACACCTCCCACCCCTTCTACCCTGAGTTTGTGCGCAGCCTCAACATGTCCTGGAGAGAGAATTGTGAAGCCAGCACCTACCCGGGCCCCGCGGTGAGCATATAGATGCCTGTCACACTAAGAAACATAATGTGCAGACAATTCCGGGGTCCCTTTCAGACCTCACAGACCACACTCAGAACCCTCTGGCATCCCAGCGGCCGCACAGCATAACCTCGTGATGCATCTGAGCCTTGTCCTCCTCCCCTCTACTCCCATGCTCTCCAGCCGCCTTGGTGCCCCAATCACAGATGTACCCCAGGGCCTTTGCATGTACTCTTCCCTGCTCCCATGCACTTCTCCACAGAACCTGTGGCTTATCCCTTCATCATTTGCTCAAATGTGCCCTCAGTTATAAGACCTCCCTTGGTCCCCCTATTTATTTATTTTTAAATATTTTTTATTTGAAAGAAAGACAGATCTTCCATCTGCGGGTTCACTCCCCAGATAGCCACGACAGCTGGGGTTAGACCAGGAACTCCATTCTGGTCTCCCACGTGGGTGGCAGGGGCCCAAGTACTTGGGCCATCTTCGGGGCCTTTCTAGGCACTGAAGCAAGAAGTTGGATTAGAAGCAGAACAGCTGGGACTCAGACTGGTGCTCTGATAGGGGATGCCGGTGTCACAAGGGTAGGGGCTTAGCCCCCTCACCACCTCACCACAGTGCCGGATCATATGAGCCTGATCATATCTATCTGAAAGGCAGAGTGACACAAAGAGTGAAATCTTCCATCTGCTGATTCACTCCCCAAGTGCCCACAGCAGCCAGGGCTCAGTCAGGCCAAAGCCAGGAGCTGCAGCTCCATCTGGTCCTCCCATGTGGGTGGCAGGGGCCCATTGGCAGGGAGCTAGGTGAAGCAGAATAGATAGGACTCCCACCAGCACTGTGATACAGGATGTGGCCATTGCCAGCGACGGCCCCGCCTGCCACATGACACCCGCCCTGGTCCCCCTGTTTAAAAAAAATAGGACTATACTCATGTTGTAGTCCCTTTCCCTGCTGCCTTTCCCTTTGGCCCTAGCACTTACAGGTCACCATGTGGCTTAGTCCATGTAGAGAGAGATTCCTAGATCATGAGTCTCGTGAGGGCAGTGGTTTCTGTCCATTCTGTTCACCGTCGTATTCCCAGCACCTAATGCAGCCTGGCTCATGGTGGGTGTCCGCTAACACACGTGGAACCAATGCAGACACTTGAAAAGCACATACTTAGCTTGTGTTTGTTCACAAACGTCTCTTTCCTCACCAAGATCTGACGACACTCCTACATACACACGAGTGCACACAGACACCAAGCTGCACACCTGGGCCTGCGCACCAGGGACATCACACACATTGAGGCATAGTCGCGTACACCCCTGCACACCCCTGTGCCACGTAGATACTCAGACCCACGCTTATTCGCACAGACAGCATTTGAGTGCGGTCATAGTCCCACTCAGACCCAGGCTGTGTGGACACTGGCTGCGAGCCAAGCACTGTAGTGGGCCGCTCATGAGCCCCTCTCCGGCCCCTCCAGGAGCACCTGGAGGGAGCGATTACTAATTCCATTTCTCAAGGGAGGAAGCCGAGGTTCCGGGAGGGGTGGGGTCTGCTGCTGCGTCCCCAGCCCTACACCTGTGCTATGGAGACAGACGGGCACGCCCATCCAGCCCCACTCTGGATACGTGCCCCCGTGTTGTCTGGGCTGCGGTGTCTTCCCCTACCTGCGTGGGCCCTGCAGACACGGATTTCCGGCACACCTGCCCATGTGGGTGATGCAGCCGGCAGTCCAGGGAACCCTCTCAGACAAGTCTCTCCCCACAGAGCCTCGTGACTGTGCACAGTGCTCCTGTTTGGGAGAGCTGCTCCCCGCTGTCACCCACAGGTCCCCAGGAGAGCCAGAGCCACTTCCGGCTCCTGACCCACCGGGCTCCCATTCCTGTAGGGAGAGGGTCTGAGGGCTTCCTGGCTCCCCCTACTAAGCTGCTTCTTTCCCATCGCCTCCCTGTGCTGCCCCCGCACAGCTGTCAGCAGCCCTGATGTTCGACGCTGTGCACGTGGTGGTGAGCGCCGTTCGAGAACTGAACCGTAGCCAGGAGATCGGCGTGAAGCCGCTGGCCTGTACATCAGCCAACATTTGGCCGCACGGGACCAGCCTCATGAACTACCTGCGCATGGTGAGCCAAGGGCAAGGAGGGCAGCAGCGGGGTGGCGGCCACCTCGGCGGGCACTCACTGTGTCACCCTGTGGCCCTCTGCCCTCCGCTCCTCCTCCAACCCCACCCTCCTCCTGCCTCCTGTCTTTCTCTGGGCCTCTGCCATGCTCTTGTCGCCTCCGCCTGTCTGGGTGGCTGTCTGTGTGTCTGTCTCGGGGCTCTTGCTCTATTCCGGCTTCCCGGCCCCCGTCTCTTGTCTCCTTGCGTGCCTCACTCTCTGAACTGTGGTTCTTCTCCATCCCTGTCCTGCGCCTTCCCGCCTCTGTGCCTTTCTCTGGATGTCTCATCGCTGCTGGGCCTTTACTGCCCGTCCCGGCCCTGCCGCCCTCTCCCTCTGTCCCGCCTCCCCGCCCTGCTAGGTAGAGTATGATGGGCTGACTGGGCGGGTCGAGTTCAACAGCAAAGGCCAGAGGACCAACTATACCCTCCGCATCCTAGAGAAGTCGCGACAGGGCCACCGTGAGGTGAGAGGCCGGGGTGACCCCAGAGCCTGTTAGGGTGTGGATGACGGGGGGGGCTCGAGGCTGCTGCGCCCCCTGTGCTGAGGGCGCCCTCTCTGCCCCTCAGATAGGGGTGTGGTACTCTAACCGGACACTGGCCATGAACGCTACCACCCTGGACATCAACCTGTCGCAGACGCTGGCTAACAAGACCCTGGTGGTCACGACCATCCTGGTGAGTGACAGTAAAGGGGACCCGGGGACAGTAGGTAAAGGGGTCTGAATGCTGGGCCTTTCCTGGGTGGTGCCCCACGCCCAGTCCCAGCCCCTCTTGTTAGGCGGAGACGCGTGCACCCAGCGACCCCACACGGTGAGAAAGGTATCACTGTCATACCCTCTGCTGGCCCCAGGGACACGGCCTCTGCAGCAGAGCCAGCCTCGGCCTGCGGCCCAGGCACACTGGCCCATTGCAGGCCTCACTGGTCATAAGCACCTCAGTGCTTTGTCACACTTGCCATAATGTGTTGACACGGGCAAACTTAGTTCCTCCCCACCCTGAAGACATGGAAGCAGAGGCTCGGATAGGGAGGGGAAGGGCCCAGGTCAGGGTCTCACAGCAACTCCACGGCAGAGCCACGACCAGAAGCCGTGTTTCTTAGACTCTGTAGTCTGCGTGTCCCTCCTGCTCTGAGGCTGCAGCCCTCCCTGCGGGTGCCACTCCCGCATTTGACTGAGTCCAAGATGGAGGGGCCTTTCACATCAGTGAGTGAGTGTCACACCTGTTCCGAGTCCCTCCTGAAACCTCACAGCTCCCGTTGAGGCTTGCTGGCTTCCTCCTTTTGAGGGGAAGGCGGCAGGACACTCAGTGAGTCACTTGTGGAGCTCAGTGTCCGCCCAGAGTCCGTGTGCGCCTTGCGCCGTGCTGCCTCCTGCCAGGCGGTCAGGGAACTGACCTGACACACAGGGCCTGCTGAGCAGGAGGCTTCCCCGGGCAGCTGCGCCTGCAGCCGGACACGCCAGGTGGCCCTGCTCTTCACAGCAGCGCAGAGCTGGCCGATGCCCATGGAGCCGACGTTGAGGAAGGGTTCCCAGAGGGGCCTGCGGCAGCCAGTTGCAGAGCCGGCCCAGGTCCCTGGGGAAGTCCTGCTCTGGAGCTGACCTCGAGTCCTTCTGGAAGGGGGCCAGTGAGCCTGTTGCTGAGGGACAGATGGCCGAGGACGGGAAGCCAGACGCTCGCTCCTGAGAGCTGGGCTGGGTTGGCTGGGAGCCGTCTGTGTCTCTACGTGTGGCCCCTGGCCTATCCCTGAAGCCTCTTGGAGGCGGAGGAGGTGGGGTCCGTGGTGGGAGCAGGGGCGGAGATCAGGGAGGGACTGTCAGGACAGCTGAACTAGGCCTGTGGGGACTTTAATTCTTTTCTCATGCTCCTCTCCCCTTGCCCAAGGCGCCAGAGCCCTCTTGTTCCTCTCTTCCCGGCGGTTGGTCATTCCTCTCTTGATGGATCCGTTCCCTCATTCACTCCACAAGTGTTTGCCAAAAGCTGCCATGTGCCAGGCTTTATACAAGTTCTGGAGGCACAGGATGAGTCACAGGGACTCTCAAGTGGCCCTGGGGGAGGTGACCCCGTCTGATGGAGGAGACAGAGCTGGACACAGTGATTCCAACCCAGGGTAATAAGGGACTCCCAAAGAGAGGAGGGACTGGCTCGGCCTTAGAAGACCGGGGGAAGGCTCTGCGGAGGAGGTGGCATTGTTTGGGGTTTTAGAGGTTGGGTAGGAGTTGGGTGCAGAGACCCTCCCAGGCAGGGGGGCCCTCGGAGCAGGGCCCCAGGGGATGTGTACCAGATGGAAGGGGAGGCAGCAGCCACCCTGTGCACGGCTGGACATGTGCTCACTCACCAACATTTTCTGATTCGGGTCTCAGGGAAGGGCCCGTGTCAGGCACTTGACAATTCAGACTTGGGTCAGACTGGAGCAAAATGCGGGCAGGACCTGTCTCATTCCCTGCTCTGTCTAGACCAGCCCCAGCCCTAGACCTGAGCGTGTGGTGAGAGAGGAGGCAGCTGCCAGCTCTGGGGCAGACAGAAGGTCTGATGGAAGCCCAGCTGTGGGAGTGAGCGGGGTCAGAGGAGAGGGCCGGGTCTGTGTGTGCAGAGAGAGGGAGGCTGGGAGCAGGGGTGGTCTCTGGGGATGCGAAGAAGCAGCACAGACTCCAGGGAGGGGAAGTGGTGGCCACCAGCCCTGGCTGAGTGAGGCAGGTGACGGGGTGCAGGCCGGGACTACCCCTGTGTGTGCAGAGAGAGGCAGGCTGGGAGCAGGGGTGGTCTCTGGGGATGCGAAGAAGCAGCACAGACTCCAGGGAGGGGGAGGGGTGGCCACCAGCCCTGGCTGAGTGAGGCAGGTGATGGGGTGCAGGCCGGGGCTACCCCTGAGATGGGGCCTGTGGTTCTGGAGAGAAGTGAGAGAGTGAGCCGGTGCCCAGGCTGAGAGAGGCCTGGGGCGGATGGGCTGCAGAAGTGCCAGGGAGCTGAGGCTGTGCAGGGGTCCCCGCCCAGGCCCCTCTCGCCTCTCGTGGGATTTTCTTGCAGGCCTCGCCCTGCTCTCTGGGGCCTGGTGCAACAGGAAGAGCCCCTGCTCTCAGGTCAGACAGCCTCCGGCCTCATTCTTGGACCCATCCTTCCGGTTCAAGTCCTTCAGCTCACCAGTCTCCATACTTTACATCGTAAAACGGGCCGGTGACCTGCCAGTGCCCAGCCGGGAACCGTGTCCTTCATGAAAGTAGCTCCGTGGGGGCTGACAGGCCAAGCCCTTTGCCTTGTTGCTCAGTCCTGATTGCAGAGGACGACGTGGTGGCCCCCACTGCATGGCGGAGCCTGCACACCGGTGCTCTGCGCCACCGTTTCTTCCCAGCGCTCGGGCTGAGTTCTACATCTCTGCTCCTGTCTGCTCAGTTCCCACCTCTAAAGGGAGGGAATTAAAATAGACATAGCAGAGCAAGGGCTCAGACTGCATCGGTCCGTGTAAACTGCACTCGAGACAGTCTTAGACCTAGATTTGGGTTCTGGGTTTGTAAAGAGGTCCAGACAGTTGGCTTCTAAGGAATCTTCTAGAATTCACTTTAAATTTTTTTGTTATTAGTTTCAAGAGATTTTTATGCTATAGCATGCATACAGAAACTTGCCCGAGTTGTGTTCCTTCTCCCTGGTTTTTCAAAAACAGAACAGTCCTATGAAACCAGGTGACCCCCCCACCAAGGCCTCCTTGTTCCCATCGCAGTCACAGCCCACCATGGAGTAGCTCTGCTCACCCTGGGACCTCAGGGAAGTGACGCCACACTGTGTGTTCTCTCTTGGGTCCAGCTGCCTTTTCTCCACTGTATGCCTGTGAGATTTGTCCACGTGGCCGTTGGTCTTGTGTGTTCTGGATCTGAGTGTACCACGATTAACTACCCAACGTGGGCTCCATTTCCCGTCTGCTGATGACCCCCTGGGCATCTCTGGGGCCTGCTCTGGGACGCGGCGCTGCGGGGTCAGGGTGTGTGTCTCAGCTCTGGCAGATGCGGCGCAGGCCTTTCTTCTCACCAGAGGTGTGTGGGTTCTGCCGGTGGGGAGGGTGTGGAGGTGTAAGTGATGGGTTTCGTTTGCATTTCCCTGATGACCTGCGAAGTCGACTGCCTTTTTGTGTTTATTGGCAGTTTGGAAATCCTCTTTTGGGAAGTCCCTGATCACATCTTTCTCTAATTTTAAAAAATTGGGATGTATGAGCTGCTTATCGATCCAGGAGTTACTTATCCATTCTGGATACGAGTCCTCCGTCTGATATATGTGTTGCAAATATCTTTTCTCCCTCCGTGGTGTGCCTTTTCACTCTCAGTGGTGCCTTTGATAAAAAGATTTGGTTTTTAGTTTTACTAAAATCCACTTTGTCAGTTTTTTTTCTTTGTGGTTACTGTTTTTAGAATTTAAGAATTCTTGGCCTGCCCCAAGGTCACGAGATACTCTCCTGCTTGTTCGCTAAAAACATAATCATTTTGCCTTTTACATTTGAACATGCAGTACCCCTGGAATTGACTTTGAGGGACATAAGAGGGAGGAGGTGCAGAATGCAGATTCTCCACACAGATATTTCTTTCTGTCTTTTTTTATTTTTTTTGTTTTCCCACATGGATATTTCAATGGGACAGCGCTGTTTATTAAAACAGTCACCTTTTCCCCACTACCACACTCCCGCCTTTGTCATAAATCCATATCCATTCATGCATGGTTTTATTAAAACTCCATTCTGCTGTTTGTCTGTCTTTGCCCAAGTATCACATTGTCTTAAAGACTGTAGCTGCAATTCAGTGTTAATATTCAGTGCTACTATGGGGCAAATCCTGCAGCTTTGATTTTTTCTTGGAGATCTCTTTGGCTGTTTGTGACCGTTTGCATTTCCATATGCATTTAAGTATCAGACCTCAGGAGCAGGCGTGTGGTACAGTGGCCTAAGTTGCTGCTGGTGACTCCCACATCCCATATTCAGCTGCCTGGTTCAGACCCCAGCTCTTCTGTTCCGATTCCAGCCTCTGCTAATGCACATCCTGGGAGGCACCACACGATTCTTCAAGCACGTGGGTGCCTGCCCTCCGTGTGGGAGTCCTGGCTTGCGTTCCGGGCTCCTGCTTTCAGTCTGGCCCACCTCTGACTGTTGTGAGCATTTGGGGAGTGAACCAACGGATGGAAGATCTCTGTCTGTCTTTACAAATTTAAATTAAAAAAAAAAAAAAGTACATGTTGTATTTCAGTTTTAAGGAATGCATTATGTTGGGGTGAGGGCAGATGTTAATACAAACCTAGGTTGAATAGAATCTAATATACGAAGCGGGTACTGTCTCCCTCCTCTCTGGTCCCTCTTTCATTCTTCCGGGAGCCCTCCAGCCTTCCAGAAGTGTCTGTGTGTGCAAGCACATCCCCCCTTCTCTTCCCTAAGGGTGGCATATTGTACACGTTGTGCTGTGGCTTGTTTCTCCCTCCTAATATATCGTATAGATCTTGCTATTTTCGTGGTTGCCTGGGATTCTTTTATGACATCGATGATCTTTTTATCTTGTCCCAGATTAGGTTGCTCCGGTCTTTGTTCCCACCACATGCCACGCTGCCGTGACTTTCTTGGGCCCGCCTCCTCGTGCACAGAGGCGCAGCCATCCAAAGGGTGAATTCCTAGAACCGGACTCAGCAGCGTCCTGCCACCTGTCCGCAGTGTCGGACTTCAGCGTGAGATTCTCTGGAAAAATCCAAAAACCCCGGACCCAAGGGTCCTCAAGGACCCTCCGGTTCCAAGGGCACGGGGCTCTGAGTGCCATCCTGGATCCTTGTTTTCTGATCTTGAGCTCTGTTTGTAGGCCCCGTCTCTGTCACTTTAAACTTAGACCTTGAACCCGTGTTTCCCAGTCTGGCACTTGCAGGTAAGCATGGCAGGGTGGAAGGAGCAGGGGTTCAGAGTGCACGCTGGGATGTGAGGACAGCTCAGCCCCGTCTGCCCTTCCCAGTGCCCGGCTTCAGCCGTGTGGCCTTGGGCTGGGTCCTTCAGCTCCCTGACCCGCAGTCCCATCCTCTGAATATCGAGAGAGCGGTCTCAGAGCCTTCGAGCCCAGTGCTGGGACTTATCTCAAGGAGAATCCATTTCTGAGTCTCCAGCTTTGACATGTGACCCGGACCCTCCAATCTGTCTGGCTTCTCCCACGTCCGCCCTCTGGTTCTGTCCATTTGCGCTCAGTCTGGCACCAGGCTTGAGAGCAGAGTTGTGGGATAAAAGCATCTTGTCCTTCTCTTAGGACTTCAGTCCCCTGGACCTTGGTGTGCTTGTCTCCAAAGCAGAGGTAATAATACCGACCTCCCACGCTGACAGAAGAGCTGTCACACAGCAAGCCCACGAGAAATGCTAGCTGCTGCTGCTATTATTAGCATTCTCTCACGTTCCTGTTCCAAGCCCCACGGTTGTGGATTTGGAAAGGCGATGGAGGGAGAGGAGCACTCACTTCCCTGCATCCCTTTGCCTCTCCTCTGCAGGGCTTTGCGGAGTCCTGGAGCCCAGAGTCTGCCACAGGGCCTGGCTTCATGGTAGAAAATTGTTCTACCACATGTAAGAGATTTTTAGGTGATGATTTATGATTTCTCACAGTTCTGTGGGTCAGCTGAGCAGCTCTGCAGTGGGTGTCACCTGGCCTCTGTGTCTGCTTCCAGCTGGTGGCTGAGCTGGGCTGGAAGCTCTGTGCCGGCCGTTGGCACTGGCCATTGGCTGGTGCCCCTGGCTGCACTCATCCCCCAGCGGCTGGCTCAGGCTTCCTTATGCCACGCTTCTGAGAGCACTCTGAAGGCTGAGGAGTTCACATTGCATCACTTCTGCCACTTCCCTTGGCCAAAGTGAGCCACAAGGCCAGCTCAGACCCAAGGGCAGGGAAACGCGCTTCACCTGTTGAGTGATGGGAAGAGCAGCAACGTACTATGTTCATGTCTTCCCCAGAGCTGTCGTGTGTGTGTGTGTGTGTGTGTGTGTGTATTTTAAGATTTATTTATTTGAAAGGCAGAGTGACATGGAGAGAGAGGGAGAGACAAAGATCTTCCATCTGCTGGTTCACTCCTCAAATGGCCATAGCTGCTGGGGCTGGGCCAGGAGCCAGGAATTCTCATCTGGGTCTCCCGCATGGGTGGCAGAGGCCCAAACACGTGGGTCAGCTTCTGCTGATTTCCTAGGCATATTAGCAGGAGCTAGATTGGAAGCAGAGCAGCTGGAACTCAAACCAGTGCTCTGATACAAGATACCGACGTTACTGGTGGCAGCTTAACTTGCTGGGCCACAGCATTACGTGTTGAATGAATGAGAGGTGGCAGAGGTCACTTGGCCTCCGTGAGCCTCCATGTGCACTTGGGGAAAGTGAGTTTAATAAGACCCCCTGCCTAAGGTCACTGAGGAGGTAAAGTGAAGTGATGGGGAGCTCTCTCACAGGGCAGATGCTGGGCATGCAGCAGCCAGGTGGGTGCTAGTGCCAAAGCCTTCTCCCCCAGCTGCTTCCCAAGTCCTGAGTCTTCCTGCTCATTATCCAAAATGATACCGTACAAAAATCCATCAGGACAGTAACTGTGTCGTTAAGTTCCCTTTTGTCACCGTCACCTTCCTGTGCCGCCTCTTAGCAGCGCCTGGAACATTCTCCCTGCTCTTGCGTCTCTTTGGCAGGAATAGGGTCAGTAAATCTGGCCCGAGCGTCTCAGAAGTAAGTGGAGGAAAAGGCTGTAGGTTAGAGGTCACAAACTAGCAGGTGCATTTCTTTGGCCTGCAAAACAATTTTTTTTAATGGTATTAGACTTTGAATTGGCTGCTAACATTTATATTCAGGAGATTTTATAAAAACAATCTAGGTTTCCAAATTCTCTTGAAATTGCACCATCTGGCGTCTCAGGCCTACTTCCCTCATGGTGGCTTTGGGCCGGAACTCAATCCTGGCGGGGGATCCCCTCTTTGACCGTTGGCAGCTCACAGAGTCGGTGGAGTGAGTCACCATTGGCCCCGTGAGAAAATGAAGTCAGGCGGAGCAGAAGAGATGGGAGTGTGTTGCTGCTGGCCAGTGGGGGCGGAGCTAAGTCTGGAAGGGCAGTGAGGTGTGTGCGTGTGACCCACGCGGGTCTCTCACCGTGCGTTGTAGTAAAATATATGGGAGCCCCTTCTTCCATTTGGCACGAACCCCATCCTCCATTCTGGTTCTGTCTGACTTGCCCCCTCCCTCGGAGGGTCTGAGTCTGAATCCTGGGCAGGTGGGCTTGTCTGGTAGAGATGGGACCGGGTGCCTGCCATTCGCCAGGGTGCAGTCTGTGTGCTGCTCCTCTGGCTTCCAGCCCCTCCCCAGTCTGAGCATGTCCGGGTAAAGAATGTGCAGAGTGACCCCATTGTCCCCACTCTGCGGCTGACCAGTACGGGCCCCTGGGCCCCAACCTGGACTCCGATCTCCAACCCGGCCCCACCTGAGACCCAGCCCCTAAACCCTGTTCTCTTGTGCCCATGCAGGAGAACCCGTACGTCATGCGCCGGCCCAACTTCCAGGCCTTGTCAGGCAACGAGCGCTTCGAGGGCTTCTGCGTGGACATGCTGCGGGAGCTGGCCGAGCTGCTGCGTTTCCGCTACCGCCTGCGGCTGGTGGAGGACGGGCTGTATGGGGCGCCCGAGCCCAATGGCTCCTGGACAGGCATGGTCGGCGAGCTCATCAACCGGGTATGGCTGGGCCGGGTCTAGGTCAGGGGCGCAGTGGAGCCTCAGGGCCCCGGTCAGTGCTGTGGGGCAGCGCTGGGGAAGAGCAGCCACACGTCCCTTCTGTGTCGCGCTTTCACACCGCCTGCACGTAGTTGGTACTCAGAGGTGTGTTGTGAACGGAAGCAACGTGGAGTGGGAATACGGCAGAAGCCTCGGTGGTCAGGGAAGGTTTCCTGCAGGAGGCAGGCTGAGGCTGCACCTCCTACACAGCTTCAGGCATGTTGCTGACACTGAAGACTGAACTCAAGCTCTCACTTAGTAGGTGTTTATTAAGTACCTACTGTGTACCTCGCTCCTTACGGGGAGTGGGATACAGCTGTGAGCCTCATGGACTTGAACCCTATACCCCAAAACTTAAGAATTCCTGTGGAGTGCAGGACAGCACAGGATCACACGCAAAGCCATCTGGGCCATGATGTGGGAACGCAGAGGAGGGGCCCAGAGCAGGGGCATCCAGGGAAGGCTTCCTGGAAGAGGTAACTTCCAAACTGATTGCTACACAGTGTGAGGAGTCAGCAAGGAGGCGCAGGGTATGGGAGAAAGGATGCATCTGGAGCAGAGGAAGCAGTAGGCGTGAGTGGGTGCACTGTAGGAGCCAGCTGGGCCTTGTGTGGCGGAATTTGCATGAAGGTGAGGAGGGATGAGAGGCAGGGCTGTGGGAGGTGGTGGAGGAGGGTGCAGTGGAAAGAATATTTTGGAGTCAGACAGCCTGGATCGGAACCCTCGTGTGAGTCACTTCTCTCAGCCTCAGTTTGCCGCTTCCTGAGATGGGGCTAAAACCTCCCAGGTCTGCGGTGAGGGCACAGGTACTAGAACTGCTGTGTAGTTCCTCTTTTGAAAACAAAAATTAATGTATTTATTATTTTATTTATTTAAATGGCAGAGGGAGGGAGAGAGAAAATCTCCCATCAGTTCATTCCCCAAATGCCCACAACAACTGAGGCCGAGCCCAGGAGCTGGGAAGTCAGTCTGGGTCTCTCATGTGAGTGGTGGGGACCCGATTCATTGCGCCTGCCCACCGCCTCCCAGGGTGAGGGTGTGCTGTAGCAGGAAGCTAGAACTGGGAGTGGAGCCAGGACTCTTGAGCCAGCCACTCCGCCGTGGGACGCGGCCATCCCGAGCATCCTAACTGCTACCCCAAATGCCTGCCCCTGTATTTCCTGTTTTTATTCCAGGTGGGCAAGTGCCCCGAGGCAGGAGTATGGCACAGGAGACAGGTACCAGCTTAGGACACACCCAGAGTGGTGCACAGAGCAGGGACATGGCCAGACTGTGAGGATGGCTTGACATTGACTTGGCCGGGCACAGGAGCGCTTCGCACCCTCCTGTCTCTCTCATGCTGTCATTTACTGCATCCAAGCTCGCGAATGTCACCAGGGTAGACATGAGAAGGCCACTCTGCGTGACAAGGACATTTCTCCCTTAGGGCACTGGTTTTCAAAAGTTATTTTGAACGGCAGAACTTTTTTTTTCTAAATGAAAGCTCCCTCAGAACCTTGGACAAAAGCAGAGCTGTTCTGACGGACGTGGGGGTGGGTTTGTCCCCTGAGTCCTGGCCACTTGATCCCCCCACCCCTCAGGTTGGCCCTGAGGCACCACCCCAGGGCGGGTTTTAAGACCTGAAGCCTAAAGAGGACCTGGTGAGACAGCAGGCAGAGGAGGAGTCCAGAGCTGGGGGCCTGTGCCTCCTCCAGCAGACTCCCCCGTGGTGTATCGCCACTGCCTGGCCGCACAGCCTCAGAGATTTCCTTTGACTGGGGCCCCACAAATCAGCAGCTCTGGAGGAGGCCTCCCGAGTGAGGTCCGGGTTAACGGGAGCCAGTGCAGGCAGGAGGCCTCCCAGGCAGCCTCCGTTTTACGGCCGCCTGACTCTGCGCTTGGGGCACAGCAGCTGCAGCAGCCAGCTCGCCTGTGGTTGTGACACCAACTCCTGTCTGAATCTTGGCTCTGCTGTGCAACAGCCGTGTGACCTTGGGCAAGTTACTGAACCTCCCTGTAGTTTCATTTTGCAGCTGTAAAACTGGGAAAATAATAGCCCCTTGCACACAGGGCTGTGAGCCTGAAATGAATGACTCCATGGAAAAGGCTAGGCAGGTGGGTGGAGGGTGCTGTGTCCGTGTACCCTGTGCTCCTGTCGGCATGGCCAAGCCGTGTCTACATGCGTATGCTCACCCTCTGTCTAGCCTGTAGTCACTGAGTGCCTGTTGTGTACCAGGCCCTGTGCCTTACCCTGAGGACATAGTAGTAAGCAAGTCAGACCCGGCCTCGCTCCTGCTAAGATGGCTAAAGGGTTTGGGTCTCGGCAGCAGGTCCATGGATGCCCTCGAAAGGTTCTGAGCTGGCTCAAGTGAGTGGTCCTGGGTGGGGCAGCAGTGGCAGCCGGACCAGTAAGGAGGTAAGGAGCAGATGGCAGGCCTGGGGCCAGAGGAGGCGCTGGAGAGCAGCAGGGCTTGGTACCGCCTGGGCCGGGCTGCAGGAGAGAGGACGCAGGCATCCCTCCTGCGTCTGGCTGGGGCAGCTGGTGATGACATTGACTGAGAGAACACCCGGAGGAGGAGCAGGCTGGGAGCGGGAGGATGGGCGGGGCGGGGCTTGCCGGGTCTGAGCTGAGCTGTGAACGTGCGGGTACCACCGGCACCACTGCAGCAGCTGCTGCTTCTCACCTGGTGCTGGGAGCGCAGCAGGCTTTCCTTACCTGCACGCTCCCAGCCATCTTCGTGGCCCCGAAGGCTACTGCCTGCCCCGCTGCGAGGTGTGGGGCTCACTGGCGAAGGGCCTGGCTCTGATACAGAGCCTGTGGGCATGTGTGTCTTTCCCAGGCCTGTGCCCTTTCCAGATCCCCAGGGACTCGAGGAAAATGGAGTAATGGGGATAACGCGCCATGCCACACTGTTGTCCATGCCCTCCGACCTGTGTTCACTCCGTGGTTCCTGGCTGCCCAGCAAGGGAGGGGCTGGTGTTAGCCCTGTTGGCCTAAACACACCAAGATACCGTCTCCAGGACACACTGTTGTTGGCTGGAGGCCCAGTGGTGGGCCGGGAGCCAGGGAGTGACCTGCAAGTGGAGTGTAGCCCGGGTACCCGCGTGCCCTGTCACTGCGGTGCCAGGCCAGGACTCCCTGGCCAGTCTGGAATATGGTCCATTTCTTCCACCCAGTGGCTGCTGCTGGAACTGGCCTTGCTCCCTGTCCTCCCTGCCCTCACTGCAGGCCCAGCCCTCGCCAGCCTCCTCACTGGCTTGGCCTCAGTCTCCCAGCACCCCAGCCTGTCCTGCTGTAGGACCCGTCACCTCTGTGCTTCCGCTGTGGCTCCTGGGCCCTCAGGATGGAGTCCGCGCCTTCCAGCCCCACCTGGGGCAGAGAAGACAGCTTAGGTCCCTGAAGTGTGGGGACTGGACAGCTGCCACAGTGTCTACTGCAGCCACACTGTCAGGAGTCAGGGTCACATTCGGCCTTTTTGTGGTCTCAGGAAGCAGAGACAGAGATATGCAGGTGGGTGTGTGTTGTGCTGCCCTTGGCTCCTTGCCCATGAGTGAAGGAAGCCAGCCACCACGGACACTCCCCCTGGGTCGAGGCTGTCAGCCTTTTATAACCCCACTGGAGGTGGAGGTCAGGACCATCAGCCGCCAGCACTAGGGCTGCTGGGACAGCGAGAACCCTGATCCTGACAGAGGGTCTGGGCCACCACAGCGTCCACTACTCCCACAAACTGGTTAGGAGCCAGACAGAAGCAGCTTAGGTCCCCGTGGTCTCCTGCACTCCTTGGTGAACCGCTTCCTTCTCTGGAGATGAGGCTGCCTCCCTCTCGGAGCTCTGGGAGATTGACTGGCCAAGCGTTTGGGAGGCCCTGGTGCACACTTGACGCGTAGGTGCTCACTCCTGGTAGTCGTCCTTGGTATGGGCACGGTGCAGGGTGTGGCTGGAAGTGTGAGCTATGGAGTTGGAGAACCCTCGGTGTGAATTTGGATTTGTCCCTTCTTGGCTGTGTGACCTGTGGGCAGATGACTGCCCCCCTCTGGGTGTCAGTGCCCCCTAATATGGGGAGGAATAATGACCCCTCCCATGGAGGGCTGCCAGCAGGGACCTGTGAGCTGTGTGAGTGCAGGACACAGGTGCTGTCATGATCAACACGATGCCACGCACCTCACCCATGGCACTCCCTCCAGCAGGGCCCAGTGCACAGCAGGTGCCAAATGAGTGACTGATTGATTCTGTCAAGAGCTTTGCAGAAATGCTGCCCGCAGTCTCCCTGTAATGTGCACACATGTGTACACATACCCCATACACATACAACACCCTCCACATGCGTATCCCATTTACCAGCATACACACACACACACACACACCCTGTACACACAGACATACCCATATGCATACCTATACACCATCCACAGCATACCCCCCATACATACGCACACACCTCATGCACACAGACATGCATGCCCCATTCACACGCACACCCCATACCCACGCGTGTGCACACAGCCCACTCCCAGACATGCATGCCCCATTCACACGCACACCCCATACCCACGCGTGTGCACACAGCCCACTCCCAGACATGCATGCCCCATACCCACGCGTGTGCACACAGCCCACTCCCAGACATGCATGCCCCATTCACACGCACACCCCATACCCACGCGTGTGCACACAGCCCACTCCCAGACATGCATGCCCCATTCACACGCACACCCCATACCCACGCGTGTGCACACCGCCCACACCCAGACATGCATGCCCCATACCCACGCGTGTGCACACAGCCCACTCCCAGACATGCATGCCCCATTCACACGCATGTGCACACAGCCCACACCCAGACATGCATGCCCCATACCCACGCGTGTGCACACAGCCCACTCCCAGACATGCATGCCCCATTCACACGCATGTGCACACAGCCCACACCCAGATATGCATGCCCCATACCCACGCGTGTGCACACAGCCCACTCCCAGAC